GTACAAGATGCTTCCGAGTTGGCAGATCAGCCACAGCCACTCTGGGCTGGAGCACATCTGATCTGGTGACACACAAACCCTCCCCACCTCAGCTCCATTCTGCAGTACCATCCTCTGCTCCAGACACCCAGCCTGTGGCCAGTGTGAAAAAGTAGCACCTGAAATTAGAGGCTTTTGGGCTAAAACCCTCTAATCATGTTAAGATGTTTGCATGTTCTGGCCTGCATGGCTGGGAGGATCCTCAGGCAACAAAGCCATATCTGGTGACCAAAGGTTATATATTCCTTTATGGCCTGAAATAAGAGTCCAACTAAGTGAAAACAAGAAGCTCAAAGCACTGAGCTCACAGCATATCGGTTCTGGATGAGTTTTGTATCAGCCATGTTAGAAAGTTACAGGCTCTTTTTAGCTACTACCCCCTCAGCAGCAGGAAATGTGCACTCATGTGTCATACAAAATAGCACCTCAGCTGCAGGAGGCTGGGAGCACTGTGCTCAGGTGCTGGACTGGCACCGAAATACCTGAGCTGGAAGCATACATTTTCTTCTGCTGGGCTCACTGGGGGAAGCAACCAGGCAGGGTTAGATGACAGAGCTCACCACGGAGTTATTTGCTACCTGAACCTCAAGTAAAAAATGCAGTTAGTAGAGCACCTTCCATATAGACCCTACAGACTGGCATAGGGTTTAGAACAGTCTATTTGGCATTGCAATAGTGCACTGCAGGAACAGGACTTGGGTGATCTTTAAGGTCCCTTCCAACCCAAATCATTCCATGATTCGAGGGTGCTTTAACCTTTTTTCCCCCCAGAAACAGTTAACAGTGCAATACTGCCAACTTGTAACTGACCTTCAGGGCTAACTGTCTAAGGAGATGCAATGGGTACAGATGGAATGCTAGCAGGTTATAGAAAGAAAACGCCTTTCTGTTCCTCCCAAAGATCAATCATTCTCTTCCATCAGCAAAAGCATGTGAGACAAAGCATGTGAGAACAGCAGAAAGAGAGGAGACTGTCAGCATTAGAGCCTCTAAAAGACCATAAATCCAATCACTGCAAGTTTGCTTTTGCAGCTCTGAGGTTTTTAGTTGCTTTCAGAAGCAGCAGCACAGACATGAGGCACCAAGAAGTGGGAAAATAAGCTGACACCTGAGCAAAGACAAAAGCTTCTTTGGCATTAGAATTGAACCACATTTCAATGCGCTTTGTTATTTTGTTAGCAGTCTTTCCAATTATGAGTCCAAAAGTTGTGGACAAAGCACCACAGAGACCAGGGCATCAGTTGTACAGGTTGGCCACGAAACAAGGTCCTTTTCTGATGTTCTGACATATAAAATTAGGTTAACGTGTACAAATACATCATTTGTATTAATCCGCATGAAGACTTTTGTTTGAAGACAAATGCATTTCTTGCTTGCATGCCACAAGTAACAGATCTCCCAGAGGAAAAGATTTTAAAGTGGGCAGAGATTAGCACTTGCTGTGTAAACAGAGCTAAACCATTTCTTAACAGTATCAGTCAGGTTTCACAGTGTAAATCCCACAGTTCTATCAGCTGCCTGTTCCCGCTGCCTAGTGTCCATCCTCCCCATCCCAGTACTGCACAGGAAAAAAAAGAGAAGAGATGAGGCACAGGGAAACAAGGTAGCACTTAACAGCAAAAGAGGGTAAAAGGCACCAAACCCCAGAGAGCTCAAAGATGAGGCAGGTTGAAATTGAAAGGAAAATAACCCAAAACGTGCTGCTAAAACGAAGGCAGGAAAATAGCTGCTCAGAAGAGACAGGAGGCCACATGAAACAAGATAAAGTGAAACTTAATACTGAAAGCCTTGACTTTCAGCTCCTGAAAGCAAAATGTGCAGAGGCTGAGGAGCATCTTTAGAGGAAGAGCGTTTCCTTTGCTACTGGGTGAGAAAATTTGGACAGATTCATTTTATTCTCCTTAAAAAGAGGGTATTGCTGTGAAAAATCAGGCATGACATTACCATGACCATCCACACACTGTAATAGTTTGTCAGCTGCTCATCCCCCTCCTCCTTCTAGCAGTCTCAATATATCCTTCTAAACATGAGTCCTTCCATCACTTGGACATACCTGACAGCAGCAAGAGGGACCGCTCACCTCTGCCATACCAGGTATGTTCATGTGCTAGAAGCTAGCAGGAACTTCCAGTCCAGCCTGCAGTGCCCAAGGCAATCCCAGCTAAATAGAAACATCAGTCTTTTCCTATGTTTATGAGGACAACTTGAAAGCACTGAAGAAAGAAGGGAGAAAGGGGAAAAAAAAAGGGCTAGATGTCTTATTTCACTTAATGGACAAGGTTTCCTGGCTCTTCTGTGCAGCTTGTTTAGAGAGCAGCAGAACTGGCACTGGATTAGGTTCCAGTGCCCATTACATTGGGTGGCTTCGTCCACTAATTGGGCTACAGAACAATGGTGTTGGAAGGGCTGCTGCAAAGAGTTCTCCAGGGTGAACACATTAGAGCCATCACTGCACTGAAAGGAACGTTGAGTAGACAGCAATAGCACATCCATACACAAGATTGTGTGCACCTTCCTGTCCTTTCCCCAGCTTACTGCTGTCTTAGCATTGCTCCCTGCTCCAATAGGCTGACAGGCATAGAAAAAAGACTGGACTTTTAAGGAATGCATCCTATTAAGTCTCCTAATGGGGTGCAGGAAAGAGGCACCAGAGTGACTGTGAAGGTCTAACCTGGCACTGAGGACCCTGCACGCTTCTGCTGGTTTTTCCTGTTTTAGTAAAGTCATATGGCTTCTTAAAGTATTTACTTTGAAGCACTTCTCTAAATTCAAGTATCCTAGTGGAAAATGGGACATAATGGTTCTAATTTAGCATTTTGGAAGTCTAAGACTGGAACAAGAAACAATGTGTGACTGTGAGCTGGAAGACAAGCCTTTTGGGTCAGGATTCATACACAGAAGACTGGAACCAGACTTTGCAGATGCTGGATTCCTGTTGTGGATAAGTAAGTAAACAACGCACAGAGCAGCACCATTGACAAGCACCAGAATGGAGAAAGGTGTTCTCTTTGCTTGGAGGTGGGTATTGCAGTTATCTGAAGGCACTGGAAAGAAGTTCCAAAGGAGAGCACAGGTGGGAAGGAGGATTGTGTGCCCCCTTCCCATGCCAGTTGTTAAGTTAGAGGCACATGGACCCTCACCTGGGAGCTGAACCTTCCCATGACACCCTCAACTTGGCTGATTGTTAAGGAGACACTACAGAGCTTTGGGGCAGTGCTACCTTTCTGCTTTCACAATGATACCGGTTTGAAGAACATGAACAATGAAGAGCTGTAAAATCTCTTTTGTTTCCTTTAAAAAAGGTTCTGGAACTTTACCAGCATCTGCAGCATCCAGTCGTGTCTGAACTGTTCAGCAGGAGATGCTTTTTCAGAGTGAGAATTCCTACTTTAGAGTTTATACATAGAAAGATCAAGCCACCTGATTAACTTCTGTCAGACTGTTAGCATGGCAAGTTCCACTGTGCTGCTCTGACCAGAAGAAAATAGCACATCCCCTGTAACAATGCTGTTTCCTCTTGAAAGACCTAAACCTGCATGAGAAACTCATGAGTGCCTTGCAGAAACCACTGCAGAGTAATCAGACTGCTTAACCTAAGAGACCCCAAGAAGTTAATCCTACAAAAACCCAAGCAGCTGAAAGCTCCTTCCTCCCCACATGGTAACAACCACTAATCCCAGCTTTCAGTGGAGCAGGCACTCAACCCCAAGTCCCAATTTCCAGACCCCTTTGTTCAGCAGCATTAGCACCAATGCCAGTTTTCAAGTAAGAACCCCTCCAAGTAACAAGAAAACTCCATCTCTATTGCCATGTAGCCCTGCAGCAGAGGCTCCCACCCCTTCCCATATAGCACATCCTCCTGATCTGTGTTCTCAACTAAGTAGTGATGTACAATGAAAGCTGACTGCATAGCATGAGGTTGTTAGTCCCATATTTCTTCTCCTTCTAAGGCTACAGGAGTGGAGGAACATTCTCTTTTTTATCCAGTTGTGCTTTTACACAGATGCTCCTCAGGGGGTGGGTTAAAATCCCAAAGAAAACCAGCACTGAAAGCAACAGCCACTGAATTTGAAATGCAAATCAACAGCCACTGATTTGAAATTGTAGCCTAAACCACCTGAACACCCTCAGATATTGAATCAAGACACCCTGAGCTACAGAACCTTTTAAAGCACCCTTTTACATAAGTCATTGAAGTTCCAGTTAAAAGCACTTAAGGATGCCTCTCCACTTAAAACAGGAGTCACAGGAGAATGGCAGAGAGAAAGCATGCAGTTAAGTGATGCTACACAGTAGAAGGCAAGAACCACCAGGTTATGGACTCCCTCCCCTCGCATGCCTGCACACCATGCAGTGTTACTACAGCACACATTACGAGGACTTGGAATCCAGAGGCAAGTTCCCATCAGTTCAATATTAAAATGACCAGCACCATTAGAAAGCCGAAGGTGGCCTGGGCCCCATGGTGGATCAAGGCAGAGGATTCCTCTGTGACTGGCTAAGGATGGACAGGCAGTGAGAAGAACCAGAAGGAGAGGAGAAGCCAGAATCTCTTTGGCTGGAGGAGCAGAATGGGAAGGAGGCTGCATTTATGGAGCAGTTTGTGAAGCAGCTGCTGGAAGAACTGGCTTTGGGGAAGTTGGATATTTGCACTGCTGACGTAGGATTCAGGAAGAAGGGAGAATGGAGGCAGCAGGAGTAGCTTCCATGGCTAGCACCAGCAGCGGAAGTGCTCCAAGCAGCCAGCACAGTGGGAAGCAAGGATGGGAAACAAAATCATTATCTAAAAAGGAAGAAAAGATCTTCACTGCTTATCTAAGTAAAAAAAAAAAAAAAAAAAACAACAGCAAAAAGAAGAAACAGAGGAAGGGGAAATCAAAAGAGGAGAGAGAAGCACCAGTCGCAAAGAGTTCACAAGGCTTTTTTCCTCCTTCCCCCAGCGTCACTGCTCTGGCTCTGACCTTCGGGGCCGGTATCTCCGATGGCCCGTTGATTTCCGCGTGGCCACTGCTGCAGTGAAGCCCACCAAGCAGCACAAGGATGTGGTGCCAAATTTGGCTGTGTCCAGCCAGCTGGGTGTTTCTGTCTTCAGGTATCTCTCAGCTAAATGCAGACTCATCACTACGAACCACAAGACTGAAGCAAATGCATCAATTCTCCGGAGCCTGCAATGCCAGAAAGAAACCAAACAAGACACAAGGTAAGAGTTTAAACACCAATGAATCCTGAAGAAGGGAAGATGGGGAAAAGATGGGGAGGTACTCAGATTGAGGAGGTTGTGTACTATCTCTTACTATGGTTTTGCCACCTGAATAGGTCAGCTCCATTTTCTACCAGATTAGAGCTGCACTGGGAGTTTTTCATTCATGGTAATTCAAGATTAAATTGAACAAACCACGGCACAGATCCAAAACAAGCTCTGCTGTTGCCATCCAGCAGGCCAGCAACCCAAAGAATAACAAGGAGAACGGTGCCACCCAGTACTACATGTCCCATTCTGGCAACATTCACGCCCTGGCTCACTGGGTCAAGACAAGGCAAAAGACCTCCAACATAATGCAGCTGTGCCAGCAGAGAAGATCCCACGCACCTGATCCGCCCAGCTAAGAACATGGCCAGCAGGCAGGTGAAGAGCCCAAGGACAGCAACTGCAACCTGGTGGTTCTTCCCGTAAGCCCATGCTGCACTCAGGTTCTCCACCATCTGCTCTGGGAGCAGACGGAGCAGCTCCCGCCAGCGGGCCACCGCCATGGAAGTGTCGTTTTCCAAGTCTGCATGTGAGCTTGTGCCAGTCCTGTTTGGAGTGGATGTGGGACCAGAGGAGACAGGAGCAGGGATTGCTGTGCTGGGTGAGAAGGGGTCGCCTGACCCGTACAAGGCCATCAGAACCAGGAATGCACAGCTGAGGAAGGCCAAGAACCGCAGAAGTATCACCTGAGCTGGTGTGGTTATGGAAGCAGAAGAGGTGGATGAACATAAATTCTGCAAAGAAAGGAAGAAACAGCTCATCAGAAGCTGAATGAACTCTGGTAAGGGTCTGAAATGGTGCTTTATGAAACACTTCCAGACTATAGGGTTTACCAGACAGTTTTGCTCAAGTCTTTTTAAGTCTCTGTACTGACACCACAAGGTATGTTGTAGACCAGCAAAGAGGAACAACAGAGCTATGAGCAGAAGCCAAGCTCAGGCAGAGCAGTGAGGGAAGGAGGTGGTCACAATTCACTTCCCATTGTTCTTACTTGTCTTGTAATCTATAGTTTCCTGCACTGTACTCACAGATTGGCTTTCCTACCTCCCCTTTTCTGCCTGTCCCACTATTCTCCTTCCAGTTCTCCTCACTACCCCCTAAATTCATCCATCTCTCCCATATGTACCTGACTATAGGTCTTGTCTGTCTCACGGCGTTTGAAGTGGTGGCTGAGCAGCAGCGCCCGGAGCTGCCGGTTCTGATGTTTGATGTAATACTCCACAGCAGCCTGGCACGGTCGGCACAGCTTGTAGGTCTGCTCCAGGTGGTGCTTGTAGACCTCAATCTCCTCATCGTATTTGTTCTGGTGAGAGAACAGGAGAGGAAAAGCAGGTGAGAACTGCAGGTCCCTTAATCACTATGCTTGCTACTGGCATGCGAGCAGGGAATGATTCCAGTTTCCAGTTCCAGAGGAAGTCCCCTGAAACCAGGCCTGAACAGTGACCAAGCTGCAAGCCAGCATAAAACCAACTCTGCATACAGCTCCATGTCCCAGAAGAGAAAATAGCCCTTGAAGAAGTCTGCTCTGACCCAGTTTCAGGATGCTGAATTTCTGTGGCCTGGGTTCAAGACCTTATGAACTCAAAACAGAAGGTGAGAGCAAATACTAGCATCGCTTCTCCTCCTCAAATGAGAGGATACAAAAGACACATTGCCCTTTACAGCACTGTGCTGGAGAAAGGAACAAGCGCCTTCCAAAACTCAGCCCCAGGCTCAAAGGCTGTCACTGTCCGAAGGCCTTGGTGAGATGAGCTGCATAAATCATTAACAGCACTTGTAAAAACAGTGAGTCGGGTCAAAGGTACATTTTTCAGTGTCACTATAGTGGACCCATCTCTTTATCACAGATGCTTGTAAGGCTTTCCCATCTCGACCCCAGCCTCTCTCAAGATCCTTGTACCAAAAGCATACAGCTGAAAGCATGCAGCTTCTTTGGGAGAGGGAAGTAACAAAGATGCATTGCAAAGGGCCTTTGGACTTGCTGCAGCAGCTTCACAGGCTCCATCTGCTGGAACCGAGCAGGAATCACAGGGGTGAGACCAGTAGCAGCAGACTTACCCCTTACTGGACAGGCCAGCAATGCTGAGGGGCCACTGCTCTCACCGACAAACCTATCTAACCACGTTGGACAACACAGTCCTATGTTTCTGAGCTGGCACAGACACTGCAGCTCACTGAATGACTAAAAAGGGGCCAACGGCTGGTGTTACCTGAGCAAGTGAATAGGTCTGGCATGGGGCAGGCACTAGAAATAAAGCTGAGAAAAGGCAATCAGCCAATGGTGTTCTCATCAGGCATGATCAAATTTGAATCTGTTCCCTGCGTCACGCTGATGAAACTCATTCCAATTCCACAAAGCACACTGGATTAGGCAAGCCAGAGGATGAATGCATCCCACTATTGCACAGTCTTATAACCCCAAGGCTTTACCATAGCTGAAAGTGAAGGAGTGCAGCAGTGAATTCAGCGCATGAAACCCTGCAAGGCATGAAACTGTGAAGGATAAACCCCAGTATCCTCCACACATATTAAGTAGTGGGAAAGCCAAGAAGTTGCTCAGCAGGAAATCCTGCTGTGTAACTGTGAAATCCCTTTGACCTCCTAGGCACAAATGCCTAACCAGGGACACGATGTGGCTCCACAGGATTCCTCTCTCACTCCACTAGTAAAAGCAGAGCAGCACAGCCAAGGCCTCAGGAAAAATCTACTAAATCTATTAAGGCTTCAAAGTGATTAGCAGGCTGTTGTGCCTCCCAGATCCTGCAAGCTCAGCTAGGTAAGTACTGGAGGTGTAAGCTGATCTCAGCAATGTGAGGGTTTAGTTTTGGGCTCAAGCTTCAACTTCCTGCATCTATCTAGAACAGGTCATTACATTCTGGCTTTAGAGCAGGATTAGTAAGTCTGCAACACCAATCAGTAACCTCTGCACTGGAGTGCCACATAGGGCTTCTGAAGACTCCTGAAGCATCATTCCACAGCACACTGAAAAGTTCCTGTCTCTCCTGCTTACTAGGCTGAAGCATGGAATTAAACAGAGCAGGAATAGCAGATAAACGCATTGGAATGCCTTGGACAAACATTCTCCTGTGCCACCAGCCCCTAAGGAACACTTACCTCTTCCCTTGGTGAGAATGAAGCCAGTTGTTTGATCTTTGTGGTTTGATGGTTGTTGCATTTCTTGCAAAGCAGAATTTGGCTGCTCACCCACTGCTGTGGTTTGGTGGGATCACAGAAAGTCATAGCACCTGACACAACATGGTTAAGGTGTTCCATGTACTGAGCAGGGATGGGCTTGTTGTAGTCTCCATTCTGGCAAAAAAGCAAAGGGGGAGGCAGGAGGGAAAGCAAACATGAGATCACAAAATCAAAGCTCGGTATACTCTGATTGATAACAAGAATACTTAAGCTCTGTCAGGAGCTTTACACTCCATGCATTCACCTCTGTAACAAAAGAAGTAAGTTAAAGAGACAAAATGCTTCAAATCTTCTCCCTCCTCCAGTGTTCTGTACACTTACTGCAAGCAGCTGGTGGGGGTGGATTTTGGCTTAAGACCAGCTTTGTTATTTAATACCCTAAATACAGCAATTCAGCTGTTCTAACTGCAAACCCAGGGAATAATTGTTCCATGCATTAAAAGAAAAAATCTTCAGGCACTTTTTGCTCTTTGAAGCAAGAGAAAAATTTGTCTTTCTCATTCTACATCAGGACATCCCAGTACAGAGGATTCCTCTGTAAATTTTATCAAGTGATCAGTTCACAAATGCTCTGCACAGATCTACCACTGTCAAAACCCTGGATATTCACCTGTACTGGGCCTGGATCACCTTAAATGAGGAACAGAGTTTTCTCTGCAAGGCCCATTCTACAGGGCATGCACCTTCCTAGCCATCCATCATTCAATCTGTCCCCATACCTCTTGGAACCCGTTGTACTGCTCACAGTTGGGGCAATCCCAGCAGTTGCGATTCCCATATGGCACTACCGTGTCCTGATTGCAGAACCAGCAGTTCACTGTCACGTGTGTGGGCTTCTTCCTGTTAGGAAAGGAAACATGTCAGGCACCAACACTGATTTCAGCTGATGTAAGGGAAAGTGATGGCTTTTAAACAGGGAAATGCAAGAGAGGCTGGAATAACAATCAATCTTCCCATTCAGCATGTCTGATGCTATGACTCAGAGTAGTCACTTAGCAATGAAAAGATGGGCTTTGAAAGTAGAAATCAATTCTGCCTGATGCTCATCTCTTTGTGCCAGCACCATGGACATGCCAGAACTTTAACAACCTTGTGAATAACCCACTTCACTGTTTTCCAGAGGCATATTTGGGGGTGCAAGACCTCTCCATAATCAGCACTGTTCATATATGCAAAGGGTGCAGCAGAGTTGCTGCTTAATAGACAGGATTCTGGGAAGTGGAAGTTAGGATCCACAAGAACTGTGTATGATGCAGAAACCTAGGAAATGGGCTCATGGTTACAGTTCTATCCATCCTGCCTGTTACAAATAAGGATGCCAAATTATCTTAAGATTCAGGCACTGTAAATAGCTGTTTCTTCAGCTCTTTAGATGTACAAGGAATTGAGTAATCAACACATCTAACCCAGTTTTTATGCACTGGAAGAAATGAAAATCTAATGACCTGGATCCATAAGTAAGCCCCTTGTTTTTGAAAAGAATCCTGTTAAAGTAAGTGTCACAAGAGAACCAGCTGTGACTTGGCCCCATTGCAACAGATGTTTGAGTACAGAACTTCAGTGGCCTGACCCTTGAGCTCACCTGCTAAAGGAGGTCTGAACTGTCTTGAAACTCGGTGCAACATCCCAGAGGAAGCTTCCTGGCAGGTTAAGGCAACACAGCCCAGTTGTCTGGGTTTATCAGAGCAAACCCAATCACAACTCCAAGGAAGGGCAGCTGCTCAGGCAAAGCCCAGGCAGGGATTTGCTATGGTGGCTATGCAGACAGATGGACCCAGCTGCTACCACCCTTTGCTGCCCAACTCCACCAAGCTTCTGAAGTGGCAGGGAAAGCAAAGAGTAGGCTCACCGAGGGCCTGGAAAGCAAGTCACAGTAGCCAAAGTGCTTTCTGCTCTAGGAAATGTGCTCTGCTGCCACACTGCTCCCTAGAGAAACATCTCAATGCTGCAGAAATGCTGTCAGCACCCTGCAACTAAATGAGCACATGGGTCTCCCCTTAACTTAAGCTGGTTTCTCTCTCAGCCACCACCTCTGTAGCTGGATGCCTACAACCCCACTCCCATTTCCATAGACCATGTCTTGAAACCTGGTTCATAAACCACCAAACCCTCAGGTGATGCTTAGGCCTCCTGTTTCAGTACTAGGGATGAGGATAAGCTTGAACTGAAACCTAAGAAGCCAGAGTGCAGGGTGGATTCCCTGCCAGATGCTGAGAGAAAATGGCTGGAGCTACTAGGGTGACAGATTCTCATCTCAAAATAGATGCACACACCCACATCCCCTCTTAAAATGAATATTCACTGCTCAACTTTCTTCATTGCCAAGAGGGCTCAAACCAGTAAGTGATCAGAGTTAAAAATACCAGTACTGAAGCTGACAGGCAAAGAAAGAGGAAGTTTAAAGCAGACAAATCAAGGCTGCTAGTCCAAGTTATCCAGGAGCTACTCCTGTCCACAGCCGTATGAAACACGGACACCTGTAATACCTGTTGGTACTGCTTTTATCTCACTATCATAGGTGTAAAAGCTATGAAAATACAACACAGGTTTCAGTATGTTGACCACCAAAATACAAACCCTACTGCACTGTGAGCATAGACGGTGATAGCAAACACAACCTAAACTCCATCCTCTGGTGTAGGGTATTGCACAGGTCCTTGAAGGTGTCACCTTCACGTGACACCATCCTCTGGCACCCATGGAAATAAGACTGACAACACTTCAGTCCCTACCTACCACGAGGCTCTGACTTCCATGTAGAGTATGTAGAAGCACTGATTTCATGGGTAACACAGAAGAGGAAAGCACACACCAAAAAACATAGCAAAGCATGCATGCTGTAAAGCAAAGAAAGAACCAATGTCAGACACTGTCTGAGAACTTGCTAATATCAGAGACCAAAGCCTTGGTATACTTGAGACCTTTCCATCTTTTCCAAAGAGGATTCCATTTCTCTCCTGCTGCTGATGAAGTGCTACCGAGGGTTAAACAGCAGTCCTTCATTCTCACAATGTATGCAAAAGAAACTGCTAAGTCCTGGCTTATTTAGGATAAAAAGCAATAAGCCTTTCCTTTTGTGAACTTATAATCTGTTGCCATAGAAATAGATGCAAAAAAAAATCAGAAGTTCCCAACCTGTTGTGTGCATCAAGATGGGAAAGAACCAACAAAGGTCATTTCAGGCAAGAACATGTAGGTAGGGTGCTAATTTTACAGTAACTGGGCATGACTTTAAAAACAAAAACCAAGTTGGAAAGACTCTCAAACACAGATTTAATGACTATGGAACTGTATATACCTTGACTGAATTCGGGCAGCGGTTGAACATGGTAAGTTAGAGCACACTGCTGCTGAAGTCAGATAGACAATGCAAAACTAAGCATTTACCCCTGCAAACCACGAGGCAAATCATCCCAAAGGAGTTAGTGTATAAACCTGAACCAGCTTCACTGGGCAAAGAACGACCCCTCAAAACAAAACCTGAGCAAGAAGAAGTGATTGAATTCCCATGTAGAAAGATTCCACTAAGGGCTGACTTGCTGCACTAGCTCAGGACGTTGCCTGCACACCCAAAGAAGTGAGAAAACATTCCCAAGTTTGGGAACACTGTTTTGCAGGTAGATCTTTGCTCAAGACAACACTGGAGGGAAATACCTGGAGTGAATTCAGTTACGAGATCAATACTTAAATGTCTGATATAAAACACTCCTTTGTGAGAGACTATCAGACACCTTTAGCTTGGTAACAAAAATCAGGCTGCAGGTACAGCCATTGACAAACACTGGTTAGCAACTAGTCTGTGCCTCTCTTGGAAGGAAGGTAAGTTCCTTCTTACGTTACAACTCTCAACACTCTCCACTATTGCCACTTACACATGCCTTTAAGGTCATGCTTAAATCCACACTTTTAATGGATTGCCAGAACAATGCTCTCCCTGGTAAGTGCAAGTCTATTATTATTATTAATTATTATTACTAATCTGGATCACCAAATAGTTTTATTTACATCTATTTCCCCCCTTATTCTGATTCTCTTAATCATTAGATTAAGATGTTTGGGTTTCCATATTCTCAAGTGGATGTGCAGCTCTTCACTGGGTTACCCTCATCCTCTGCCAAGGATCAAAAGAAAAAACAATTCTCCACTAAAAGCATCTAGAGCAACACACAACTGCATTAAAAGCAATTATCCAAACAGCTATGCCAGCAAATCTGAAGTAAAAAAAACCCCCACACTAGGAAAAGAAGCTCTTTTGCACAGATCAGTTTTGATCAGAACTTCATCTGATGGCGGTTTCACATAACCAAGGTACAGACCCAGCCCGTGGCACAGTACTGTCAGCATGGCTGAGTTAAGAAGCTCATACACAGGGAAGCTCCTGGGAGGCAGCTCCCTGAGCTGCTGTAATTCGAGGTTGTGCCCATATCCATCACCTGTCAATAAAGGGGTTTGCCAGCAGAGCCCCGATGCTAAACCCCATTTTCCAACAGGAGAAAAACACGCCACAGCTGTCCAGATACCAGCAGGCAAAGGGTATCAGAGATGCATTAGCTCAGAACTAGCTGACAGGGTTGAAGATTCAACCACAGGACCAGATTCCCAGCAAGTATTTAACAGGTTATAATGCAGCCCAAGAAGCAGACTTTGTGTCTTCTAACAGGGAAAAAGGTGCCCAGTGGACTGAAGCAGGGACACAGACCCACAGGCATAAGCACATCCTGTGCTGTCTCTCCCAAAAACTGTCTTCATGAAACTGCAGCTTTAGCATCTTTTAATATCTGGAGAATACAGTCCATCGAGACAGGATCCTCCAGAAAGGTGCCTCTTTTTGCTGTCTCTGCATCCATGAGAGGCTCTCAACTAAATGAACACCTCCTACTGGCCTCTTAGTGTGAGAGATGGCTTATCCTGACTTGTAGAAGGAGCATCTTTTGCCATCACTGACCCAAAGAGCCCTAAGAATGAGATGCTCTTGGGTTACTCTATACTGGTTCTGACAGGTCAGTAGCTAAGAATCAGGAGGGGCACAAGGAAAGGTGGCTACAGCTGCTAGTCTGAACTCAGCAACCTGACTCCCAACTATAGATAACAAGTAATCAAGCTGTGATCTTGAAGACAGATCATAAAACACATCGATTTTCCTATCTGGTCCAAACTCATGAGGTTTAAGGAGCTCCCATGCACACCTGGACATCAAATCTTGATTTCCCTGATACAAAAGCACAGTCTCGGGTGCAGGCAGTTACTGAAGTGTAACTTCACACATTGACAGTTATCCCAGAACCACTTCTCTCTAGGCTGCTCTGATATATTTTGTTCCCCCTTCTCCAGGGGGTGGCAAAGGCATCTTGCTAGATCTGTAAGTGCACTCATGCTGAAAATAGGGCAGATGGAAGGTTCATTTAAGTGAGGCAAAGTAAGAAATCAGGTAATATCAGAACACTGAGAAACACAAATATGCAGCCCCAAAGAATTATCAAGGTCATCTCCTGAAAACATTTGCAGCTCACTAGCAGCCTTCAAGGACTTAGGAAGAAATGCTTTCCATTCCAGAGACCTTTTGATGAACCTAAGCAAAACAAATCCAATCTCTTCCCTCAAAAGGCATCTTAGCCTCATCTGGGTCAAAGAAACACTGCCTGCTTCACTGAGGATTGCTTTAGGCCACTAGTATTTCCTAGCTGCCCTAAATATGCCATAGAAATGCCAAGTTGGGCTAATGCAGCACTGACCATTTAGATGCTTACACGAACAGCGAATGCTTTACAGCAAGCCTTAAGTATTTTATTGTGGATGTAGAAACACGCCTCTACCTCAGCGCGTAAACTTGAAGTGAACCTTAACGCAATGAGCCCTTGGGACTGCCTTTTTCCTCTACATCATGAAATGAACAGATTGCTCAGGTCTGTTGCTATAAAGGCTGCAGTGCCTCCGATTCCATATATTCCTAAACACCTTTCAAGCTATGCTGGATTAAAGCTGTTCAAATTAAGCTTTACTCCTTTAACGAAATCTGTATGCTGACTCCTCTCCTAATGCTTCTCAAACCTCAAGTCTCAATTGGTCTGATTAAATTTGTTCTAAGGTCGGAAACTTGCTGTGCAACTAACAAATAACCCAAGGTTACTGATAACTCTGACTCCTGTCATCTCTGGCTCTATCATCTTCCCGAGTTTTGCCGCTGAACCGCAGTAACTGGCACCTCTACGGCCCTCTCCCACTGTCCCCACCGCACTCACGCTTTCACCTCCACACCAAGCACCAAAGCGTTCTCCTTTCCTGCCTCCAACACGCCGGAAAACCAGAGGCAAACCCGCACACCGCGGACGGCGAGGGGAAGCGCTCCGAGTCCCTCCGGAGAACGACCAGCCCTTCGCGCCCAGCTCCGGCACACAAAGGCCCGCAGCCATCCCAAGGGGACACGTTAAAACGCGCCCGGCCGTTCCCCTACGCGTTTCTGTTGCCGCGGGAGGGTCGCTCCCCGAACACGCGGCTCAGCAGCCCCGCGCACGGGCACAGGGGCAAACCCGCGCGGAGCCTCCCCGCCGGCGCGGCCCGCATCCGCCCGGCCATCGCCCGCCTCCCGCCCTTCGCGGCCCTACCTCCGCGCCATGCGGTACAGCAGCAGCCCGGCGGCGGCGCAGACGGTGACGCCCAGCCCGGTGGCGGGGCCGCGGGCCAGCAGCGCCCCGGCTCCCTCCATGCCGCTCCCCCCCGCGCACACACACACACACACGGGGGCCACCGCTGTGACCTCGACGGCGGCGGCGCCGCTTTGTACGCGGCGAGGCCGGCCCGCTCCGCCCCTCCGGTGGTGCCGCGGCGGGGGCGGGCGCCGTGAGTCACGGCGAAGGACGGGAGGGGCCGCGGCGTGAAAGGCCGGAGTCGTGCGGCGGCGCCGTGAGTCAGCGCCGCAAAGGCCGAGATCGTGGCCGCGGGGGCGGGCGGCGGGCCCGGAGCCGTTCCGGGGGGCGGTGAGGGGGGAGCCCCGGCGTGCCTGGCCCCGCTCCCCGCGTGCTGCTATATTTAGACGCGATGCGTGACCGGAGCGGCTCCAGCGCCTCCGGGTGCCGGCCCTGCCGGGGACGGAGCCAAGAACCCAGGCTAGGGGCGGCTGCAGCGGCCGGACTGGGGCTGGCACAGGCCTAAGCCTGGGGAAAGGGGGTGAAACCCACAGCCGCACCGAGGGGATTTGCCCCCGCCTTGCACAAATGAAACCAAAAACAACGGGGTCTGCAGCAAGGTAATTGAACCTAACTTAGGTTATATGTAACCACACCATCACCAAAGGATAGCTGGGCAGAGAACTGTGGAAACAGAACGGGCAGAGGAAGACGAGGCACTTCCAAGAGAAGAGCTGCTCTGGCAGGAGCTGCTTGGGGAGAATGGCCAATCCCTCCAGTTACACCACTGTACCCTCCCCACTCATTTATAAAGCACCCTTGTGTAGTCCCTCATCAAATTACCCAGTAAATCACTGCAATAACAGCTCACATTAGCCAGGGGACAGTATGGCAAGAGGAGCTGGAACTAAAGCACGGGGCTCTTGTGGGCAGGCTGTTACCTGTGAGCCAGAAGCTGGAGCCTGCAGCTCTGCACTGTCCCTCTCTAGATAAACACAGCTCTGCAGGAAGCCCTCAGGTCTCTGTGGAGAGTAGTTCCCAGGTCAGACTGTTCAGAAGGTCTCTGGAAAGCAAAGTAACACCCATGCATGCTCGGCCCCTCTCAGCACGCAGGGGTGGGATTTACTGGTTCTGCAGAACTGCAGGCAGTTGGTGGTTTGACAGCCATGCCCTGGGAAGGTAAAAGGTAAAACCCCGCCAAAATACGTGACTGACCCTGCCTCCAATTGCACGGCTCTTTTCCTGGTTAAAACCAGCAGTTTCTCAGCATAATAGCCAGAACTGCTTAAAATTCAGGAGAACCAAGTTGTGCCATCATCACGTTTTTAAAAAGCCACAAATGGAAAAGCTCTTCATGGACAAATACTTGGACTGAAAGTGAGCTGTACATCTAAGTTTGTCTTAACTGTGGTTGGGGTCTTAACAGTTCCATTTCTCTCTCAACAGATTTAACCATGGAAATGAATTCTGTGTAATAACAGTGACTATTTCCTCTTGATAAATGCAAGCGGACAGATTTTGTCCATCTCTCTTCCATTGCTTGATTATTTAAGGATTGTTTTATGAGACTAAAAGATATGGAAAGGAGGAAGAACAACTCATTTAGCCCTTCTGCAAGTCCTCTGAGACCTGCTGCACTTGTGAGCTTGTCTGTTTTTCCTACAGAAGTCCCTCCTTCCTATCTGTAGTATCAGTCTATCCACAGATGCATTGTTTACTAGAAGTTTCCTCCTTAAAGGAGCTAATGAGGAACTTGAGCAAAACAGCTATAAATCATGGTGAGGGGCACAATCACAATGCAAGTGTGTATGACAACCATCAGTAAATGCAAATAATGTTGAGGGAAATCAAGGGAACCAGGGATACCTAAAGAGAGGCCGTAAATCTTGTAGTGACAAGATATAGACCTGAGCCATCTTTAAATGCCCATGAAATACAGCTTCCAAAGCTAAACTAACCAACATGAGTAGCTCATACTATTGCAGTAACAGTGTGTTGGTAATTTCAATTTAACTGTTAATTTATGAATGGGAATAGACTCAGTCCTGACAGTGGAAACTTTGGGGTCACTTCAGATACAACCATAGTTTCAACACCTTACTGATAATGAAGCTACAATGGGTCTAGTAATGAACCCTAAATCTGGAGAGAAACAGCCCAGGAAATGCTAACGTGTAACAAATGGTTACCTACCTTCCATGAAACTGGCCTGCTGTGGGAGTTGGAGTGGAATGAACAGGGGAAAAAGCTTTTGGTTTCTCTTTCGCGACCAGAAAAAGGTTGGTTATTTTTAAATCCAGCTATCCCTTTGGAAAAAAAAAAAACAACTTCAAATTCTTCCCTCTGGTAATAGGCTTAATTCCATGCTCAGTGACATCAATGGGATTGCTCACAGAGCATCACCTAAAAATGTTAACTCTTTATGGAGTTACGGAAGCAAGGGTTAGTGAACTCTTAAACATCTCAGAGGAAGGAAGGAACGAGGATTCAATTATACTCATTCAGAAATTAGCTCCCAATAGAGCTTATTAACCTCCAATCAAATTAAGACTGTCAGGGCTGGTAGCAAAGCTTAAAGAAGAAAACAAAAAACCCAGCAGAATTCCCGATTTTCCATCACATTGAAGCAGAACAGAAATTTGTTCGCTTTCTCTTTTGATTCCTCTCTTCCCAAGTCCCAAACTCCCCAGAATGGTTTGAGTTCCCTCCCCTCATTCTCAAAAGAGATCAGCAGCCTACACATTTGACTGAGGTTTTAGGAGTGAGCTCCTGTATGGTAACTACAGAGGAATGCTAATTTAAGAAAGCAAATCTCAGAAAATGTTTCAAAGTAGCAACACAAGTGCCCCAGTTCTCAAAAATAGAAGCAGCTCTGTAGGACAGTTTTGCCTCCTCCAAAGATACAGCTTCTGCTGCTCACCGTCGCCAGAAAAAAAAGCCATGCCAGTTTTTAGTTACTCAACTGTTTCCTATTTTAGCTCAGGGGTAATGTGATATGTTCTTTTCAGTAAGACATAATAGAAATCGGTTATTTTTGCAGTTTTGCCTCATAATGAGGTATACAGGCATTGTACCCTGTTTGCTCTGTGCTCTTCCAGCACACTGATGTCAAATGTGACCTCAAGTACCAGTCATCAGCTAGGTCCGAAACAGAAGAGTCGTGAGGGTTTGAATCCAATTACGGAACCCATTATATTCCTGCAACAAAATACTAGCCTGAAAACTTGATCTTATAAAAGACTCACTACCAGGCTGTCTCTTATTGGGTTGCATGGTCCTTCCAAGTCCAAAGTTTGCTGGATGTGGTCCTTGAAGTCAAAGATGTCTGTAAACTCTGGTTTATGCTCAAGAACTCAACACCTGCTCAGATCATGAGAAGCTCATTGTTCAGTTGAACAGGAGGGAAGGCTGAAGCTGGGCTCAAATGCTGCAGTGTTTGTCTCAGCTGCCAAAGCAAATGACAGTAATGAACAGGGGAGCATAGTATGGTCAAAGCAAAACACAAATCTACATCTGAGTTCTCAGACAGTTTGTCCTGCACTTTCAGTAGTTATTCATATACAATACTTTAATCACAAGGTACTGCTGCAATACGAGTGGTAAAGAGAGTACTGGAGTTAAAAGCATACTCCAATATTTATGAAATGACTATGCAGGATATTTGATTTATAACTGATAGTTAGGACTGCACCATGAGTACTGTTGAAGAATACCCCTTGGATATGGTGTCTTTGAAGGGGAAGGCAGATATCTTATCTATATGAAACATGAGAACTGTGAACAAGATGGACTGAGCTGGCAAATCCTTGTTTCCTTCAGTAAGTAAATCAAGTAATGACATAAAGAAACTGTTCACATGTGGATTTTTTTGGTGTTAGCTCCAGTGACCTGTCCATGAGATAACACAGCATCTCGTGCCCATCAGAAGCACTGCTCTACAAAGACACCAGATCAAGAGGGACATATTTATCGTACTGTAAAGCAGAATCCAGAACTGCATTTATAATGTAGAGTATTTGGGACCTAACTTACCCTCTCTTCCATTCTCCAGAGCCCTAGTATTTAAATATAAGGAAAATGTCACACAAAAAAGCCCCATAGTACTAAAAAGCTGAGGTCAGGGTACAGGACCAAGTTACTGAATCTCATGGACTTGCCTTCCGCAGGGCAGCCAGGCCACAGCCACGGACTGTCCTTACACAAAGCAAGGTCTGCAAGCCAAGTCATGATAGATCCATTCCCACACACTAACATAAGCATGTATCCCAAATGCAGTGGTGCACACAGCAGTGTAATTCCTTTTTTGCTAGAAGCCTCCCACAATCATATTCCAGCAGTATTGCTAGTACACATGGTTTTCCTAAGACATTCTGGTGTGCATATCTCACACCCTCAAAGCAGATAAACATACTATGAATGTCCTGCTTGAACACTCCAGGATGCTCACACAGCAACAAATGATGCACCTTGAATATCCCAGAAGAACTCTCAAACTTGTTTGGGCATTAGGCTATTACAGTGCTAAAGTGACATGACTCCAGTGGGAAGACAACAGAGTTGCACATTTCCAAACCAGTTCTTCTCCTGTTTTAACACAGTTTTAATGAACCAAGAGATCACTTGATGAGGTACATTCCTTGACCACATATGGCTGTGCTTAAGGAAAAAGACAAACATATACTTAAATTAAATAGTGTAATTTAATTTAGTAACAGTTTAACTATCATTAAGTTAAAAAAAGTTATAATTAACTGTTAACATTAATGACTCAAGACCTTTCAGAAGGCATGAATCCAAAAGGAAGTATCCAGCAGGTGGTCACAGACTTGCTCTTCCACCAGCACTGCCACCTGCATCAGTCTCTATTTGTTCAATGAAGAAATTGGTCTACAGTCTGTAACGGCAGTCTTGGCTCTGCTACTTTGCACTGTCTTCTAACAGATACACAATTAACTCATAGGTGGACAACACAATGGCTGTGTTTGGTATCTGCCGGATGAGCTGGGCAAACAGTCCTCTATAGAAGGCAGAATAGCCTTCTTCACGTGCTACCAGACGTGCTGTCTGAATTAAGGTCTTGTACTTAGTGCCTTCTTCTCGCAGCCGTGTCCGTATGACCTCTGCAGGAAAAGTAAAACAGAGCCCAAAGTTAACAAGACTTCAACCTTCCCACTGAGAAACATCCCATCACCATGAAAGCATATGCAAAACCCAGGGACATGAAAACCTCCCTGTACCAATTGCCTGCCAGTACTTTCAGCCATGGAATCCTGTACGCATTTGGAAGAAGCAAAGTTAAAGATGGGTTCCCTTTCATGTGGAGTAAACAGATTATTTTATTTGCTCATTCAAGCTACTACTAAACTAAATGCTTCACTGATACTCATCATCAATATTGCTCTTTCTAGGTAACCATGATTACATTCACATCTATCCAAAAAGAATAGCACTGCTCAGCCCACAAGTGTTTCTCACCACTTGATCACAGAATCGCAGAGGCTGTGAGTACTCAGCTAGATGAGTACTGCTACGAGTGAGAACAGAAGCATCAGGCATTCAGTTTCTTTTTGGCATTTTTTGGTGCTGCTTTTAAAACAGGAATTCCCAACCACCAACTAATGGTGAGCCCAGTGCTGAACATGCCAATGTATATGCACACGCCACTGTAACATGCATTTGGCCATTCAAATGACTAAGAATTTTACAGCCCTAAGCCCCATCATTTGTCTTGGATTACAGGCAACAGCTGCTCTACTGGATTCATAAATGGAAAAGTTAACATACCATGTGGATAAGCAATACAAGAAGCACAGCCCTTGGAAACAGCAGCAGCAAACATCAGTCCAAAGAAGTTGGTTGAGTTCCTTTCGGTCCCGTTAGGAGGAGAAGGGGGCAGTTGCACTTCCTTTAAGTGCTTTTTTAAACTTTCATAAATAGCAAAGCAGATAATGGTCTCAGAAATCCCAGCATAGGAAGCAGTCAGGCCCCTATAAAAGCCGCGGACACCTTCTGTCTGGTAAACATATCTAGCACACTGCAAAGCATTCATTGGTTTTGAACCCCTGACTCTAAAAAACAAAACAGAACAAAGCATATCATGAGCCCAGGAAAAGAATTAATGTTATAGTTAAAAGCCCATAGCTTTTAATAGGTTTTATAACTATAGAAACGCTTCTCTACTAAGTTTGACTCCAAAAATCTTCTAGGAAAGCTGCACAGAGCAGGACTATCATGTTAACAGTGCACACTTGCTCTGCTTATTCACCAGTACATGTAGTAATTCTTTCAGCTCAGTTCTATTGAGTTTGTCACACTTCACACCAATGTTTTAAAAGACAATAAGCACTAAAGAGACACTGCTTTGTGTTAAACTGAGAATTCCATTTAAAGCCACCTTCAGCAGGCCATGCCACAGAGGCCTCCTACATGAGAAATAATCCTTTACTTTAAGAGGCAGCATTCAGTTCAGAGGTGCCACCCTGTGAAGTTCTGGAATTAAGTCTTATAAGTTGTTTGTAAATTGTGGCCTTAAAGGATCCTTCTCATTTAACCTAAATGTGTCCTTGCAGGAACTTCCATTCTAAGCAGTCACGTTATTGGCAGAGTCCCTCATTGTTTCAATATCCACCAGTGACTGTGAATCACTCAGCTAAAAGATTACTGTCAAATCCCCTCTGTCCCCAGAAGGTACTGTTAACAGCAATGCAGTGCTGAAGGAAGAACAGTAAACCACTGCAATGGATTCTTATTGCCTCTAGAATGTTTTATGTAACTTATGTGGCTTCATTACAGTTTAAAAACGTCACCTTTCTGTTTACAGCCATGTACCATGAACCTCAGGTTGCTGCAGTAACACACAGTCTGTGTGATCTAGGATCAGTACAACTGAGGTTGCCAAATGGGACAGCCTGCAACCTCACACTCAGCCTCCCACATGAGCTCTTCTGACCTTTCCATAGGCTCTATTATTGCTGTATCAAAACCTTTCAACCCTTGATATATTTATCCTTAACATCAACCCCTGAAGCACATAAGACTCTGTAAGCAGGAATCTGAGAGAAAAAGTAATGTTGTGCCCAACTTTACTGAAGATTTACAGTGAAACCAGAAACTGAACCTAACTCAGCACTCAAGGCAACTTCCACAGCCTTCTCAATAGTAACAGTGCATCGATCTGAAGCAGGACACACGGAACCTTAACCTTTAGTTTCACCAGGCAGAAGCATGGTGGCTTGAAAGGTGGAATTGCAAGTCAGGGAAACCACCAGGCAAGATCTATCAAAGTACAAAGAGCCACAAATAAAACCATGGAAGTGCAGTTTTCCAGAGGCTCCCTTAGCCACTCAGTGGTATCCAATCTCCCTCCATCAGTTACTTACTTCCTTTCAAGTTGCATTCTGGTTTTCACCATCCATATAGGATTCATGAGGGAATTTGTGATAAAGGCTGAAAAAGAGACAAGAACACCAGAAGTACAGTTAAATCCAGGCCAGTGTATTGCCATGGCAAATATGAACTTCACACACTGTGTAGTGTGACAGTTCTAGTTACCAGCTCTATCTAGACATTTCAAAAGACACGCAGGTAAGTAGCTTACAACCTCTCCCTTGCCAAAGAACCATCTCATGTTAAACTTCGAGAGGCAAGGACTAATACCCTTGGAATTTCTCAAAGGATCCTTCCTTTTTGCTCCTACTTTAGTATGTACTTCGTGCTCTAAAGACTGCTGCAGACATGATCCCTTACTTACTGACTGGGTTTTAGAATGATACATAAAGGAAACTTGTGGGGAACACAAGCATGTATTAGCATTTTGTTCTCCCCATGGCTCTAGATGGTGCCATTGAGCCACCTCATTAACAGAACCCAATCCTAATGAACTGGGAAAGATTGTTTTTAATGGTCACTTGGGTGACTGACCCTTGAACTAGTGGAGCTTTTCTGCAGTGTTTTTCCAACAGGAACAAACTATTTTCCCATCCTGGTAGGAAAAATACAATGTCCTTAAACAGACTCAAAGTTCAAGCCTCACCTTGTACTTCATTCTGTTTGTTTCCTAACTATTGAGAGGGATATAAGAAGTCTTGTAGCAACACCAGCTTGCAATAAATACTTTAAGGAATTAAGGTGCATCTCGGAGGCAATGCAGATATTGTCCCTCCCGGACAGCGGGGTATTGCTGCAGACCGTATGGAGAGGGATTACAAATACATACCTGCAGAACCTGCAGAACAGATGTGCACAACATTGCTGTTGGGCACAAAAATGCCATTAAATTGTTCTTTAGCTTTGGAGTAGCACGCAAAATAGACAGCTCTGTGGGAAAGCAGAAAAAGAAGCAAATGAAAGAGAGAAGAAAAAGGCATGTAATGCACACAATGTCCAAGCAAACACATTACTATTCTTTCCCCCACAGTACAAGGTTTTCTCTCCAGAGAGAACTCCACATGACTGGTTCCTACAAGGACTCGGGGCTGTTGTTGGTTTGGGTGTTTTTCTCTTACATTACAGTGCCACCACCTTGACACCCATAGGGTAGCAATATTTTACTTTCACACCAACTCTGAGATGAGTCTACCCTACACCAGCTCTAGCATTAAACACACTTTGTAAACTTGGGAATGTTCCTTTCCCACCTGGAGCCTATGTTTTCCATAAATCTGTGCAGCACTGTGTTAGCAACACTTCGTGTTTTAAACACTTAACCCTGGACTGAAAAAGTTTTAGACCTCTCAAATCCCTACATAATGCTGAGGAACAGAGGGAGCTCAGCTGAAAGGCAGCGGTCTATGTGAGTAAGAGGCTGTCTGAACCAAGCGTGTTCAGATCACACCTCCCTGAACTGCTAGAAAAAAGGTAGATAATGATGACTCCAGTTTGAGAATTTCCATATAGCACCTTATTCCAATCTTATGGAAGAATATGAAGGAACACAAACAACAGCATGAGCTGCGTAAAGAAGCAGGCAGACCTGATTTCAGATCCCTGTGTAGAAACAGGATTCCCACTTCCGGGGGGGAACATCCTACCTATTAGGCAGAAGGCCAAACAGAGAGTACACCACTCTTCAAGTTCCTTTTTAACTGGTTCAACCTCAAGCAGAAAGAGCTGCCAATTTCCTGACTGCTAACCAGTTCTAACATTTGCTAGGCACAAAGATCTTCACCCTGCCAAGATGCTCAGTGTTTGGCAACTCCTTTATGTATTTGCACAGACGTAGCAGATCACATTAGAAAAAGGCAAATATTAATCCCACAGATTTTTCTGCTCTGCTTCCTCTTTTCTCATGCATATCATATGTGGCTCTTGCACTGACTAGGTATTGAAGTGCCTTGTTCAATCTGCACCTTTCAGTGTTACACAACTGTAAAGCAGATGTATGCTTTTGGTAGCACAGTGCACAGATAGAGGCACAGATCTCAGTTTACAGATGGGATAACTTCATGACCTTGTATTCTGAAATGCACAGCAACATCTGGGTTGGTATCTTAAAGGTGGCTTTTAGCAACAGTTTAACTATTTACCTTGATGGTGCAACCCCGACCAAGTTTGGACCCAGCCCTCGGAAGAGTGACTTTGGTCCTTCTTTTTCCAGAATTGACCTTAAAATAAAAACAAACAGAGAAAACCAAAAGTATTTGGGTTAAAAATTATACTTCTTGTTCTGTTCAGACAGTCAAAAGAACTGTACAGAAGCAATGAGTATTAACTGTGAAGCTATAAGCTATATACTTGAAAATCAGCACAATTATACACTGCTGAATAAAAGACACTGTACCATAAAACTTCAGCGTTACAGGCAAAAGGTTGTCATATGGCACCAGGTTACAATTTCCTTTCTTTGGAAGCTGTCAGGAATTGGTTTCATGGAGAACCCAGTAAGAGTTGACTGATGAACAAGGAGTATTTTTAGCATTCTCTGTATCTAAGCAATTCAACAGTTTGCTTCCTGTCTAAAGACATACAAAAAGATAAAACCTTTTCCCCCTTCACAATTACCTAGTGATGAGTCTCTAACCCAGAGTGAAAGTTGAATGTGGCAGCTCTACTACAAGCTGTGATTCCCCAGGTAGCTCAGGGTATCTAGTTTTGAGGGCATTCAAAAGAGTTTACATCATCTTTCCAAAGTAAACTCCAGGTACAGAGGTACTGCTGTCAATCAGTGTCAGGACTGGACCTCACAGAATCATAGAATGGTTTGGAAAGAGCCTTAAGATCATCCAGTTCAACCCCCTGCCATGGACAGGGACGCCTCACCCTAGACCATGTTGCCCAAGGCTCTGCCCAACCTGGCCTTGAACACTGCCAGGGATAGAGCATTTACCACTTCTCTGGGCAACCTGTTCCAGTGCCTCACCACTCTCACAGGAAAGAACTTCTTCCTTGTATCTAACCTGAACTTCCTCTGTTTTAGTTTAAACCCGTCACCCTTGTTCTATCACTACAGTCCCTGATGAAGAGTCCCTCTCCAGCATCCTCATGCTCAGGTCTAAAGCAAGATCGTGATCAAAAGATACTTTCCTGCAGCTCTGCAAAAGCCATTTCCACCCATGTCCCCTCACATCTTGGAAGGCACACTGGGCTAGGACTTCTGTGAAGAAGATAAACTGACTGGACAGCTTCCCCAGCAGCTGCCAACTTCTCTACAACACCTTGCTGGAGTGCCTCATTAAAGACGACTTATCTTACCAATTCCTTGTACTACTACCAGCAGGCATATTTACAAGGACTAAACCAATAGCTCAATGCTAGTCAACAGCTAAGTATTAACCAGTGAAAGCCAAGCACAGTCCAACAGTCACCAGGATTTCAGTGCACAATCTGCTGGACAGCACCTCTTTTAGCTGAACTCACCATATGAAACCCATGCAAGGAAATCCAGGTAACACCAGGCTCCAGGGGAATTTCACATACATCTGCTGGAACTTTCTAGATCATTAGCACTGTTGAGAACATTCCCCATGAGATTCCAGCACCAAGCTCATAAGACAGCTGATGACACAGGAGCCTCTGAAACCCTTTTTCTGCAGCAGAGTTGAACTTGCTGTGTAAACTTCAGGGCTGAGTGTCTCCACGGAAACAGATCCACCAACTACTTGTTCTTTGTCACTTAACAGTCACGACTGCAGATTCCAGCTGGGGTAACTCATCAGAATCTTAAATGGATTAGACAAAAACAGCGTGTCCTTGTGGAGTGCTTTCTGCTCAGCAGCAGGCTTAACCTGCCCTCCTGAGTACCTACTTACTTGCTATTTACAGCAGTTAAGGGGCTTTCATACTCAACACCTTTGACTCTTACAGAGCAATTTTTTATGTAGGGCTCTGTCCTGGGTTCAGCAGTAGCACTCATTTTTCCCCTTCTTGGTAGCTGGTGCAGTGCAGTGTTTTGACTTTCAGCTTGGGAACAGAGCTGATAGTGATGTTTAGGTTTGGCCAAGGACTTTGTGAGCCTCATGCTCTGCCAGGGAGGAGGGGAGGCCAGGAGGAAGCAGAGACAGGACACCTGACCCAAACTGACCAAAGAGGTATTCCATACCACAGCACGTCATGCCCAGGAGGTAACTGGGAGTGAGCCGGAAGGGCTGGGAGACTGCAGGGTTGGAGGAGGTATCGGTTGGAGCTTGGTCGGGCTGGGGGGTGCGAGTTATCGGTTGGCTGGTGGTGAGATGATGTATTCTCTTCCCTTGTTATTTCCTTTATCATTATTATCATTGGTGGTAGCAGTAGTGATTTGTGTTATACCTTAGTTACTAAACTGTTCTTATCTCAACCCGTGGGAGTTGCATTCTTTTCGATTCTCCTCTCCGTCCCTCCGAGAGCAGGGGGAGGGCAAGAAAGGGGGGGAAGTGCGAGTTACCTGACTGGGTTTAAACCACGACAGTTCTTTTTGGCGCCCAACGTGGGGCACGAAGGGTTGAGATAACGACAGATCTGACTGGATTAATAGTCACTCGTCACAATGCTGATTTATTGGCTCTCAGAGTTGTTCTTGTTGATCTCACAGCTTCAGAATGTTGTAAGTTACGTAGAGCCGGTATTTGCTGTGATAGTGTTTATCAAGTGTGGGGCCTGGGCTAAGGTTCTTGTCTCACTGTGCTTTATGGCAATGGCTTGTAATACGGGCGGGCTCCAGCAGCAGGGCGGGACGGACGTGGCCGTGGACTTGTACCTGGCCGTCCGGCTGCTCTTCACCGGCCTGGCCCTCACCCTACTCTCCATCTTCGTGAGGCTGCGGGGAGCCGAGGGGGAGCGGCCCCGGGAGCCGGCGGCAGCCGAACCGGCCCGGGAGAGCGGCCCCGGGGACCAAGCGGCGGCGGGAGCGGGGCCGGAGGCCGCGAGGGGACGGCTGCCGGTGGAGGAGGTCGGGGCGGTCGAGGAGAGGAAGGAAGCGGCTGCCGAGCAGCGGGAGAAGGCGGCGGAGGAGCCGAGCCCCGCGGAGGAGCCGAGCCCCGCGACGGAGCCGAGCCCCGCGACGGCCGAGAGCATTTCCGGGAAGCCGCCCGCCGAGCCCCAGGAGGATGCAGGAGACCACGCAGCATTTCCCAGCAAGGCAGAGGAGGAAGAGCTGGACTCAGGAAAAGAGAGGCTGGCGGTGGGAGAGCCGGCAAGCACAGCAGCTGCACCAGCCCCAGTGACAAGTACAGCAGCTACACCAGCCCCAGTGACAAGCACAGCAGCATCAACTGAGGGTTCTGAAGGTTTTGAATGGCCTTTGGGTACCCTTGGGACCTGCCTGCTGATTGTGATGGGGATCAGCATGTTGGCACACACACAGGCTGTGTTCTACCCAAAACCATTTTGTCTGATCTCAAAAGTTAAGCAGAGTCAGGTCTGGGTCTTGTCTGGGGTTAGACGACGATATGGGGGGACCAAGAGATTTTCTCCAAGGCTGGACAGTCATGAGTGGCAGGGTGTGTGGGACAGTATGGGCAAGTATCTAGTCCACTGGGCCCCTCCAGTGCTTTGGAAGCATCGGAGATGGAAGGCAGCTGTGTGGAGTCCCCAGCAACAAGCTGCAGAAACTGCTGAAGGGGACAGTGAATTATTTTGAGCCTGGCGGGCCCAATGCACTTCAGGCCAGCAGAGCAGAGATGCAACATAGAGATGGACTCATGATCGAGGGGTGGACTTAGCAATGGACACTATTGCCCAGGTTATTCACGAGTGTGAACACTGCACACAGTCTCTCCTGCTCTGGAAGACTATTACAAGAGATGGAGCCTGACATCATGGACCAGATGGACTCAGCAGCTTTATAGGGACTGGTCTATGCACTAAGAGTGATGGTATATTGAAAATGTGGGATCTGAGCATGACGTGAATGGTATGGAATAAGGGGTGGATAATGTCCTGGGTTCAGCAGTAGCACTCATTTTTCCCCTTCTTGGTAGCTGGTGCAGTGCAGTGTTTTGACTTTCAGCTTGGGAACAGAGCTGATAGTGATGTTTAGGTTTGGCCAAGGACTTTGTGAGCCTCATGCTCTGCCAGGGAGGAGGGGAGGCCAGGAGGAAGCAGAGACAGGACACCTGACCCAAACTGACCAAAGAGGTATTCCATACCACAGCACGTCATGCCCAGGAGGTAACTGGGAGTGAGCCGGAAGGGCTGGGAGACTGCAGGGTTGGAGGAGGTATCGGTTGGAGCTTGGTCGGGCTGGGGGGTGCGAGTTATCGGTTGGCTGGTGGTGAGATGATGTATTCTCTTCCCTTGTTATTTCCTTTATCATTATTATCATTGGTGGTAGCAGTAGTGATTTGTGTTATACCTTAGTTACTAAACTGTTCTTATCTCAACCCGTGGGAGTTGCATTCTTTTCGATTCTCCTCTCCGTCCCTCCGAGAGCAGGGGGAGGGCAAGAAAGGGGGGGAAGTGAGGGAACGAGTTACCTGACTGGGTTTAAACCACGACAGGCTCTAATTGCTGCTTCTTTTAGCCACATAATTTTCCCAAACCAGAAGGACCAAGTCATATCCAGTTTGGCAATGCATGCATACCCAGGATTAAGAAAGGGATAGAAAAGTAAAAGCAAGGGATCTAATGTCCCTTTTTTCTTCATACATTTATATTTTAGTAGAAAGATCATGATCAATAGCATTATCTGTTCTTCATAGATGCCGCCTGCAAGGGAATGAAAGCATCACTATTTAGTTCTCATTTCTTAATCCTCTGAATTAAGCAGGTGGAAAACTTGGTGGTACAGACAGCTGAGTAATTCCTGAAGTTAAATGAAGTCAAGATCATAGTAATCAAATTTAATGAGCTTATTAATAACTATATTAAAAGGCTGCTCCAATTTTACACCATTTCCTCTCTCCCTTAAAAAGGCAACCCCAGAAAAAGATGGGCTCAGGGATGAATTAAGAGCTTTGTGCCTTGAAGTTTTCACTTCCTTTAGTTACAGCTGCCTACAGTCCAATGCTGCAAGGTGAAATAATAGCAAGGGAAAGGAGATGAAAAATCAAAGGCAACTAGCACTATTTTCAGTCACGAATTGTTCTAGACTCACCTCTGAACAGACAAAGCAATGTTTGGCAGGGGAAAGCAGCACTATTTACAATATAGAAACTCAAGTCCCTGAATGACTCTAGCCAGATAGCTCTGCAGAGAATGTGAATTAGCACTCTGCTGTTATATAACTGTGCAGCTTCTCCCCAGGCAGCCTGCCAAGCTGCTGGCCTTACGTAAAACCATTCAGCTTGCTCTGCTAGTCATTATTTTCCTTGGCATTTCAGCTACCTGATCTAAACAGGACCTCTCAGCATCACCCTGGGGTGCCCAGTGACTCAAATCAACTTAGTCCATTTGCATGAGACCTGAAAGTTCACGGTGCTTTGATATGAAATGCAGCACTGGGGATGTGGACTTCAGAGTTGCTGGTAAAACTCTTCAGCAGTTTTAAGCTAGAAGATTGCTCATTTCCTCTTCTTTATGAATGCACATCTGAAAATTGAAGAGCTGGAGCATCAACTGCTGCAGTCTGAACCACACAGAAGGCTTTTAACAGGGATCATATGTAATCATATGTAATACAGGTGAGAAAGGACTGATAATTGGCAAAGACAATATCTAATAGCAGAGGAGAGCTCAATAAGGCAGCTATTGCTGAGGAAATGACCCAAACTTCCAAGACCCCATTAGCCATTCTGTTTCAGTGAGACTGCTTTTGCCGTGTCCTTCCGCTACTCCCATAAATCTCAGTTACAGATCATCCACACCAGAGTGCAGACAAGTGTAACTCAAAATGTATGGGAACACTGAATTCTGGAGGTCATCTCATTCAGACTCACGCTCAAAAGCAGGGCCAGATGTAGAGAGAGATAAGCGGCTGACATGCATCACTACGTGCAGAGAATCAAAACCCTTGGTACAATGCTGGTGAAGGATACAGCTTTTATATGATGCTCCACAGAGAGAACACTTCAAGACAGGAATTAAAGCTTTCCTCCATCAAACAGGTAAACAGCATGGGCAGCAACAGCACAAGTATCTCTACTACCTACTTAAAGCAGACTGGGAATGGCTCCAGGAAAAAGAAAACATACAGCATATATGGCTTATTCAGGCCTTCAACCATTTGCAAAGAACTGGCCCTAGCTAGTAAGGATTACATGTTCCAGTGCTAAAAGGAGAGTGCAAACATGATTATTCCCAATAAGAGACAAAGACAACACTTCCCAGTGTTGATAAAGAGAAAACCCTTTCTTCCAGAATATTTTCTGTGATAGTTCCCTCAAGCAAGGGCTTATCAAGAGTTCCCAGCATGTCCTGTGTATTGATCCCTACAAACTCCTACCTGCCCAAAAGCCTCAATGTGAGCAGACAACTTAAACCCAAACCCCTCCAGGCACTTATTCAAATCAATTTATTTTGGAAAGTTTCAAAGTGGTGGAAGCAAATTTCTGTGGAAGTTCAAAGGAACACTCAGGAGCCCTGAATATGTATGTGTTTTTATAAGAGTAATTCATCTTTCTACTGCTGAAGGCAGAAATCCAACTGACATAAATCCTTCCAGTGCAAGTCTGGAGCAAAATTTGCATCCAGTGTTTGCATACAGGAATTGGAACTCAGCTCACTGGTGTCAAGCAGCACTGAATGAGAGGAGGAGCGGTACTCACTTGAGAACACTAAAGAGCCCAGGTGATACAGATGTTGGCCTGACCATTCCTTCACCACTGATGGTCCCCAGCTGGACTTGTGGGTAGTAGACAGCCCGGAAAGCTAGCTTTGAAGATTGGAGCCGAGTCTTTATTACCTCTAAGGGACAGGTAAAGATGGCACCAACTGTTCCTCCGCATCTGGAAAACACAATTTAAACAGAAGACAAAGTCAGGAAAACAGCTGCACAGATGTGTCAAAACACAGCATGGAGTACGAATAAAACCTCAAGAGTTGTCTCCAGTTGCTCTGCATTGTGGATGAATTATTAGGAAGCAGGGCAGTAGGCAAAGGTGACTGTTCCCAAGCCCTGAGGCAGGGGAGAGAAGGTTGAGAAACTGGTACAACGATCATGTGCAGTGATGAGGTTGGTAAACACAAAGAGGATACCCAGATGATGCTAACAAAGAATCCTCGACTGACTATCTGCTGGTTGCGTGTTCTGCCAGGTCTTGGAATTCTACCTGTAAAAACTTCAGAGGCATCCATGTTTCACAAGTTGTCCTAAAACAGACCTGCCCTTAGATGGACTCTTTTTTTATGGGAAGCAGGAAGCTGGCACATGAGAACAAGTCACTGGGGATTAGGACACTATACACTGAAAACACAGCAATACGATTCTTCCCCATTTCAGTGCTTATGATTTAAACAGCTGCCTAGAGAAATATTATAACTACACTAAGCTAAGCTCTCTGAAGAACAATGGACATCAACTTTTTGGGGGTGGTGAGGGAAGGAAGCTGCAAGGATGGTGGGAAAACAGAATCACAGGACAGAAAGGCTACTAAAGAACAGAATTCCCATAGTCTGATAACAGAATTATACATATACATATAAAAAATGATATGAGAAATAAATGAGTCTACAATCAGCATGTATTCATCTTAATATATCAGTTCATCATCTGACTAAGCCTCACAAAAAGCACACTGGACCAAGAACAGAAGGTGCACGAGTCCCGATTGTCATTTTCATCAGTGATCTGGAAAGTGACTGGTCAAAGTAATCATTCTGCTGCTGTTCCTCTCTGCTGACTGTCCCTTCTGTCCAACTTCACAATTAAACATGATGCTGAGGCTGTCTAAAAGGTACAGTTCTAAACATTATTAATCAAACAGCTTGGGCTTTAGGAAGACAACTAAAGATTTCAGCTACTACAACTGAACCCATTGATTAGGAAATAGCTTCTTTGCTTGCACAGGTATCAAAGCATGTGATTCCTTTAAAAACCTGTGTTTGCAATATTCCTTCTAAACCACCATGAGTCAACAACTGAACTCACTTGAAATATGAGTGTGAAATTGTAATTTAAGTAGTTTCTCATGAAAAGGAGACTTAATTAAAAGCAAAATCCTATCATTTGTCTTGCACATAAAAAAGCAGCATTGCTTGCTAGAGTCAGGAGAAGCCTGCATGCACTAATTTAGGAACAGAGATCCATAAAAGGCTATTAATAAAGGTACTAATGCATGTTTTAAAGCCCCATATATACATGAACTATTTTACTGGGAGGATCTTTTTTTAACCACAAGGAAAAGGACAATTAAAAGAATAGCAGAAAAAAACAGACTGTGGATACATCCTAGTTTATAAATGCTTTATCTGGTACAGCTTATTTTGCTTGTTGAAACAGTCTGTCTTACATCAGACAGTAACCATTCCTTGCCAAACCCCTGAAGCCTGCCCACCCTGGCTGTACAACCACAAACACTGAGGTTTTTTGTAAGGTTCAAAAGGACACCCAGGCCACATGGCTGGGGAATACAACCTCCTCACTATGGTTTTCATGTTCTACAAGAGTCTGTCCAAGGACATGATCCCAAACACTGTGTTTCTCTGATGCAAACACATGCAACAGAAGAAACAGTTTTCATGAGACCAGCAATATGATTTAACAGCATGCTGCAATAAGTTTCTCCTCTAAGTTTTTGCTTCTTACTCTTCTCTGCTGAAAGGGGAAAAAGCCTAAGCTAAGGACCATCCATACATCCAACCATAAGAAAGAGCTTTGTCTTCATCCCTTTTGAACCACTTATATATGACAAATTAAATCACAAAGTTGTTCATGGAACTAGGTACACAGCAGCTGAAGTTGTGTCATTTGGCTCAAAAATGACAGTGTTCACAGAGACCTTACCAGGCCTCTGATTAGTTTGTATAGAACTCGGATTATCTTGTGTACCGAACCAGGGCTTGGACACCAGCCTTCTGCTGTGTCAGTACTACCCAGGAAGACATCGCTTCAGTTTCTCCTTTGTTTTGTCAGATGCATCTCATGTTGCTCCCACTTCCCCGAAATTAGATCTTGGGGGAAAAGAGACAGGTCAGGAACCTCTCCTGTTCCCACAGCTCAGGGCAGGGAGTGTTTTGAGGAACCCTCTTGCAGATCCCACTGCCACACTTCTTGCTATGTATATCCAATAGAGACACAAGTCTGTACAATTAACCCCCGACAAATCAGCATACTCAAGAGAAATTGTAAGTCTGTGGCAACTCCATGAAAAGAATTTGATTGCCTACATTCCCAATACATTTCTCTGCCAATGCTCCACTACTGTGTACTCTCTTCAGCCCTTATTTATTTCACATTTATGAACACTGAAACAGGAACAATTCATACATTCAGGACACTAAAACTCCATCTGCCTCCCTAGCCCACTCCTTCCCTTTCATCCTTTTAGTCTGATAATCCAATTCATTTATGCAGCCTTTACTATTTAAGTACTTCTGGTGATACATATGCAATCCTCTGCTATTCAACACAATCAGTTAATATCTGCATCATGAGTTTGGACAACTCAGAGTTCATGTTGTCAGTGTGACATTTCATAACAAAGCACTCTCTAACAGAGCAATAGGCAGAATATCAGCAGGGTGCATACATTATGTCCCAAATACAAACACGCAGCAGATAGTTCAAGTAAGGACTTTGATGTACTGGGCAGTTTTTTCAGATGAGCTGATCTTCCTCCAGATGGGAATTCTATGCATCATACTCTGGTGTTGCTCTATTCCCTGTAAAGACGGATGAAAAGCAACACACTGTGCATAAAAGAAACACTTTGTAGGGTGTTCCAGATAACTGCTTGTTTCTCCTTGCTTCCCAGAGGCAGGTTTCTTCAGCTACATAAATAGCCATGAACCCTGAAAGGTTCAGGCCATGGACATGTAGCAGATAAATTTGATTTGGGAAAACCTTATGCTGCAACAAAGGCAAAACCTCCAAACCTTCATAATGGTTTGAGTCTGTTGGGTTTTTCTGATGCATCAGTGCAGAACTCCAGTTCCAGAGCTGTTTAAGCAGTGCTCACTGCATTATCCTCTTACAAAAACCCCAAACGATGTCTAAATCTGTCCTTAGTCAAAGGACAGAAGCCTGCCTAGAAACAAAACACTAAGGCAAAGTATTCTTCAGTAGGGCACAAGAGGTTCCCAGCTATGCTCTGCATTGTAGATACAAAGATCTCTTCAATGTGAGACCCCCAACAATTCATCTGCTTTGGCCTGTCAACGCCAGAAACACAGTATTTGTACTTCTGGCTTTGAATGCCCCCTCTAACTATATGATGGGCCAGGCATGTATCACCAAAGCAGGAAAATACACTTCTCTGCTTTGTGATGTCCAAAGGAACTAAGGAAACTCTAGGTCTGAGACTAATGAAACATATTTTGTGTCTATGGAGATACACAACATACTGTAATTTAACAGCTGCAGGAAAAATATTTACTTCCATAAAAAGAAACACTTTAAAAGACATGCCAAGGATGAAAATGTCAGAATCCAATTCCCATTTTCCTCTTGCTGCCAGCTTTCTATCTTGACAAAGTCTACCCCAATATACCAATGACTGGCATTTGAAATAAACTCTCAGCACCCATTAGCACAATTAATATAGATGGCAAGAATCTTAATTAACATTCTTAATGACTTCATCTGTCCTGGATTTCGTCACCTGTGATATCCTTAAACCAAGTAACAATACACTGCTGAATGTAAAAGGAAGTTCTGCAGAGCAACAAAACCGTATCTTTCAGTAGAGCACCACTGACCTGACCAAGGCCATAAGCAACAGTGATGAGCTGCTTGGTGAGAGCAACCATGACTTAGCCTAGCACATTTGGCTCTGTGAGCATCTAAAATTGCCTGTTTCTTCCCAAAGGAAGCAACTACACTCAACATTCAACAGTGAATTTTTGACAGGATTCAAGCAAAACACTCAAAGAGAAGCATTAGTGCAAACAGTCTGACAACTGTGTTTAATGAGCTGCTTTAAGAACCACACTGGGAAGTATGTGTTAGTTCACTCTTCATGGATGGCACCACATACTGCTTTAAATGTGAAAATACACCTTGGGAAATCATCCGTCACTACAGACTGGACTCCTTTGATAGATTCAGAAGCCTGTAGAGCTCCCCAAACACACCTGCAAGACTCTGTCCCACTCAATTCAGTGGCAACAGCCAGGGATACAGCTCAACCACGGCACTAACAGTGCAGAGCATTATTTGCTTTTCTGGTTGCTGACATAGAGCCATGCCCATGAAGGCAGATAAGCAAATCCCAAAGTGAGCAGTATATTCACAGCAAGTGTGACAAGTTTTAAACCAGACTGTATCTGCACTAGGAATTTCATTCTGTTGTTCTAAAACATGCCACGTGCTCCAGCACGACAAAACAGCAAAGCAGATTCTAGCTTTGATATTTCATTACTGCATTGTCAAGACTGGGAACAAAACAAGCTGCTGCATACTCAGATGCCATAAGGAAACGAAGTACTAAACCAATAGAGACTGTTCCTCATGCCTTAATTTTGAGTTGTTAAGCATTCAGTAAGTTTCCAGCTAATAATGTTATCACCAGGTACAGATATTCCTGTAGGCACCTACTGTGTTCCTTGAGCTGATATGCTGCTAGTGAACTACCTTCTGCACCCGAGAACCTAAACTAGGCAGAGGGCTAGAAAACAGTCGATATCATCCCCTCTAGCTGTCCTGGAGCACACACAGTAGAGCAGACACATACTTCAGGTGAAGACTGCTTCCCTTCCAGTTTACGAACAGAAACATCATTTCCCAAATGACTTGTCAGCATTAGCACATCGCTTAACAATTAACATGCGTGGGAGCAGTGTTCCAGTCCTCCTCCCCACAACTCATTTGGTTACTAATTCAGTGAGTAACTTTGCATTGGTTCTGTGACCTGTACTAGACACTCAGGTCAAATTCAACATTTTAAACAAGGCTCTCAGCAACCCAGTGCATCAAACACTTCTCAATGTGACTGAGACAACCTGTGCCCACAGAGATGGATATGGGTGTCACCTCAATGCAAAGCAACCTGATGTCACCAATCTTCCTAAAGTACGCTTCCAACTCTTTTGCAGGTGGCTCGAGGAAGGTTTGGTATCTAAAGTTGCTTTTCAGACCCATAGGAGCAAGGGAATTACTGTCTTAGGCCTCAATACCAAGACAGAAAAAGTCACAAACATGATTTTATTCAAACAGCCCCCCCAATTTGGTTCAAATTGCTATAGAACTCACACCACACTGTATCCATATGAAATGAAGCTAAAGTTTGTTCCCAGTTTCTGCTCTTTGCCAGTTCTATGAAGGGCACTGCAGCCTCTAAATACAGGTTCTTAGGAAATCCCTGTAGTAATCAGTATTACTCCACCTGGGAAGAGAACACAGAGTAACCTCTGCTGAAGCCTAGTCCAAAGTTCTTCCCAAACAAAAATAAGCAACAACTGTACTGACTTCAGCAGGGAAGCAGTAACACAGACTTGTAAACATGCTCACATCTGTTGTGCAACTTAGGCATGGATAGTTCTGTTCCTTCTGAAATCTTCCCTGCCCTCAGAGTCATGTTCCCACCAAAATGCCAAGCCCCTTTGGTTTGCTGTTCCTATTGTAAGCCTTAAAAGGAACTGAGAAACAAAAGGAAGCCAATGAGTCTGCCTGCCTATAATCAGCTAATAGAAGCCATCTCTTTCAACAAGTGGAGAACACTTCTGAGTATTCCAGTGCATTTCATCACTCCTGGCATCTGACGCAGTAAACACTTCTATTCTCATTATCTGGGGCTGCTTTTCTTGTGCACAGACTGTACTAGGTCTTCTTAAGCTGACACTGCACCCCATCCTCACCTTCACAGGAAGCCACCCCAATAATATCTCTATCAAAATTCTTTCAAGTGAATGAGTTGCTCTTGCTTTACAATTCAACAAAGATTAACATCTTACACAACTTAGAAAGTATTCTGACCTTCCAACACTTTCTTCTGCTGGAGGAGTAATTTTATTCAAGGCCCTGGTTCTGCAAACAGCTGGAAGTCACAACACAACCCAGTTATTATGGAAGACCTCTCTGAAATAAAGTGTAAAGGTATTTGAAGGACTGTGAAGGACCTCCACAGAGACTATTAGCTAAGCACTAACACACTAACAATTCTTTCCAGAATCCCTTTGATGATCTAAGAGATGTAGTAAAATATTATCACAGCTGAGCTCCTTTAATCACATTTTATTGAGCAGACATCCTTTATCACTGCTGCTACTCAAAATGGAAGTTAATAAGGCAGACATGGCACTGAGCTTCACATCTACAATCTGGGCTTCTAGCTTGCCTATCAGCTGCCTGGTCCAGCATCCCTCCAAACACATCACCTATCCCCTACATTTCTTACTTGTACACAAAGGTGTTTAATGTCTTGGTAACAGCTCAAAAATCATGTTCAATTTCTTGTCCCATCCAGCAAGCTCCAAGAAATGTGCATTTCTCACTTGAAAAGCAGAGATAGCGGCATTAGCAGAAGCGTGCACACACAGGATATGGAAGTTGATGGTCTTGAACAGGGAACTACTCTGAAATCAACTGTTTGGATGCTTGGGTGGGTGTGTGTGTGGTGGACCAAACACTTGAACATCAGCTGGTGCATGAAGACTAAATTTGCTGTCTCATTTTCCTTTCTGTAACACCACAGCAAGATAAATGACTGACTGCTTTTCTGTGTGCCTTTAAATAAAAAGATGTGCAGAACAAGAATTGGGTCCAGCAATGAAATTTTAAAGGCCCATATACCCTAAAAGGCCATCTTTTTCCTCTGTGCTGTATTTCCATTGCTGCTTTAGGAACAGAACAATCTTATCATACCAGAGTGGCCAGGGGGATATTCCCTGCTGACGTTCCATTCTTTCCCTCCATGCACCCTCAAAGCCAGATCAGAACCAGTGACTTCATGGGCCTGCAGCAGAAAATGTTTACTGGGATCCTTCGAGAATGTGGAGGATACATTAAATGAGTAAGGAAGATGCTGATCACTCAGTGCTAGATTAAAATACTGATGAGTTTCAAATTCCTATTTATTTATAGTCTGATGAGCTATGTGAGGACACCCAGAGCTCTGGATAAGCATTGCTGCTATCCAAACAAGCTGCACACGTACGTTCAAGCCCGATTTCTGTCCCAGGCTCCAGGTACTGTGCCAATGCAAGTGGGTGAGGCAAGGGGGAAGAGAGGATTTAACACCTATTCAAGTCAGCAGAAGAAGGGCAGTGTCTCTGCTGGGTTTAATATTATATTAAATGAACCTACTGCTCCAGGGACATGTCAGAGGAGACTGAAGTCTCCTGTTTAGCAACGGGAAACAATGGTCTACTATTGAACAGATTGAAACTAACAACAGATTTCGTGTTGGCTTCCTAACTCTTCCCAGCTGACAAGCACTCCAAGATATTCTATATATCTACAAGATAGTTTAAGCCATTAATAAAGTATTAAAAGATGATTTCTGATGACAGAAGTGCAAACACCAAAACCAGCACTTCCTATCTGCATAACGGTCATTTTTAGTTAATTTACATCTTAAAACTATATTACTGGATTACTATTAAATTTACCCTAACAAGTTAATTCTGAAGGCTTTTTGGGAGGGGTTTTGGTTGGTGGTTTGTGGGTTGGATGGGGTGGGTTAAGCTTTTAACACAACAAAAATGAGAAGTTTACAAGGCCTTGCAAGAACTTACGAGAAGTGGCCTGGCCAGGTCACCTGCTCTGTGGTACCAGGACCTTCTCGAACTCTCTTATCCCCCCACTCCTTTTCCCTTTTAGGAGCACTTGCCTTTCAACATAATTACAGGGATCAGGCAGTTACACAGCCCCCACTGTTCAGCGCCTCCACTGTTAACTATCACCTACACAGAGCTTATTGAAGTGTTGCACAAATATGTTCCTTTACAAGATCAAGATATCAAAACACACAAAGCCTTCTGCCTGGACAATGCTTTTTGAATGACAACCCTTAGCTCCTGCTTATTTCAGGATCTGGACTTAGAGTGTTTCATTGAACAGAGCTGGGTAGCTCTGTAAGATTTGGTAATTATATATAGCTAAATGTCAGAACAGCCCGAGCGACTGCCCAGCGACGACCTCAAGTCGCACTATGATCTTTTCTTGCCCTTCCTGCCTGGCTTGCTAAGGATGTATTTGCTAATTATGGAGGGGCACCGCTTGCCCGGCTCCTCTGCACGGGCACAAGGAGAAAGCCCCGCGCTTCCTGAGGTGTTCTGAGGGGGACAGCGAAGAAAGGCGGGCTGCACTCGGCCACCACAGCCGAGCGGTTTCCCTGCTACCGGCCCTTGGGCCGCGTGGCCGGGAAGTGTGACAGGAGGGGGGCCATGCCGCAGGCACCTCCACCGCCCGGCCGCCCCTCAGCGCAGGCAGCGGCCGGGCACGCCGGCGGGGAGCCGCGGCCCGCGGGGACACCGCGTCCCTCTCCGTGGGGCCTCCCCCGGCGGACGGGACCCCGCGCCCGGTCTGGTCTGGTCTGGTCTGGCCCGTCCCTCCGCCGCGGCGGGCTCACTCACCCCCCGGCGAAGAGGTGCAGCAGAGTGTTCTCCTGCTGGGCGCCCGCCATGCTGCTGCCGCCTCTGCTGCTACTGCTGCTACCGGGACCGCCGCTGCTGCTGCTGCCGGCTCAGGCTCCGGCTCCGGCTCCGCCGGCGGCAGCTGCAGACGGAGGCCGGGCCCCGGCGCGCACGTTATGCGTCAAACGGCTGCGCCTGACGTCACCGCGGGCGGCCGCGCCCCTAGCGGCGCTGTGCCACAGCGGAACCGGGCGGCGAGCGGCGGGGGGGCACCGATAAGGGTCCGCTGGGGACCGGGAGCTGCCGGTTCAGCCCCTCGGGTCCTGCGGTGACAGACAAGATGGCGTTGTGAATACACAGCAGGCACCCAGCCTGGCCTTGAGCACTGCCAGGGATGGGGCAGCAGCAGCTCCTCAATCTCCTCTCTTTGCGTCGGGCCCGTGGTTTCAGGTGAACACCTGCGCTCAGGGATGGATGTAAACTGCCGCAGGGAAAGCTTAAGTTGGTCATTTGTGGTATGGGGCGCGGCTCCATCACTGTAAATCCCATCTGCAGTGGCAGCAACATCTCACTGCAGATAAAACGTACTTTCACAATATGCTCTCGATTCCCACATGGCAAGGGCGGATGGGTTAGGCAGCTGATTTAAACTAAGCCACTGCAGGAAGAGCATAGATGTGCCAAATGAGCCAGTGACATGGGGACACATGGAAACATCTGGAAAGCATGCTGTGTTCTAGCCTGTGCTGAACGGGGGCATCCAGCGAGCAGTATGGAAATGGTCCTTCTCCTTCCCTACTCCCCAGGGATTCCAAAAATGTCAAGCTCTTGTTTATGCAGATGGCTCTTCTGTTTTTATAGTAATACTAAGCACAGAGGAAACATCTCAGTTATTTGACTAATCCAACAGAAAAAATATCCAAAGTGCTGTTTACATATTCAGAGTCCTTTGAATGCCCCAGGGAAAGCTCAGACATCTGCACTGCCGAGTAAGTGATCTCAGAGGATGCTCAACAGTGACCCATAGAAGTGTTTGTACTGGAGGGACACATGACATGAGGCTTTTAAAACTTACACTCCCCTAAAGTCTGTGGAAGATGTTCAACCGGGTGCAGTGATTTACACTCATCTGCAGGATAGATGCTGTTTACATGCTGTGGGTTAATTGCACAGGCAGGACATTTACAGATGTCAGCCTTTCAACATGACAGAGTCCCGAGGAAAACATTAAAATCTATAGCATGAGTCTAGGTCTGCATACTTTCCATGTTTTCTATGGTCCTTGACAACAAGCTTGAACAAACAGCCTCCTAGCTTCAATTCACAGCCACACATGAACTTTACTCCTGCCTTATGCCACAAACCAAACTTCCCTATCCTAATGCTGCCAGGTGCTGGAGTTTGAAAACTGATTGTGCACATTTCCAGCATTTAGACTTCAGCCTACTCAAAGGAACAAATGGCTTGAGGGTAAAACCCAAGGGATGAAGCCGTACCTGGGTCTACACTATGGTCATGCTGTTTGGATGTGCCTGTCCTTGGGTCCTCAGTCTCAAAGTACAGGCCTTCTAGACCTTTCTGTTTCTTTCTGAGGTGGTGGTGCTATAAAGAACTGTTGCCTCTAAGTGATCATGTGTGGTGACTGAAGCAGAATCAGTCTAATGGACAAAGGTGATGGGATCCCTCAACTACAGAGGTAGCTGAAACAAAGGAAATCAGCATTGTTGCAAATAGGATCTGAGGCAAAGTTATAGTTCTGACTACCTGGTCCCCACGCATCCTGGGATGTTGAGGACACCACACTGTCATCGAGAGTCTATAAAGTTACTCTTTGTAATTATATCAGAATATGTACCAGAGATCCAGGCAGCAACATGGATTTGCTCATTGTAAATACATCAAGGATGCTGGGAGTGTCAAGTGGTGAGATAAAGGAAGAGTTTGCTTTAAAGTGTAATCCCATCAGGTCATGCAAATGAATCTAAGAATAAAACAATCTGGAGAGGAGGCTGACTCAGAGAAGAGCTAGTACCATTGCAGGGCTGTCAGAATGTAGATGACTGTATTAACATATCTCTTTTGTTTGCTCAAGGTGTTGATTCCACCACCATGTGATTTTTGGAGGCCCACCTTGTTTATAGTGCCTCTCACCAGCCAAAAAACATAGCCACCTTATCACAATGATAACAACTTCCAGGTAGGTATAAACATTTAGAAAACACATCTACATCTCCTGATAACATCAGCACAACCAAACTGGCTGTAGAGACCCCTTTACCAAGGCTTCAGCTGAACACCGTAGTGCCACACTGCAAATCTGTAAGGATTCACATTAATAGAAATATATACACAGTGAAACCTGGGCCAAAGATTCTCATTTACACACATACATAAACTACAAATGCACACCAACAGAACTACAAGCCTTCTACATCCATGCACACAGGGCCCTGTCACACATACACACACATAGTTCAATGGGGCTTAGCCATGTATTTTCCCATGTGTCCAAAGAAGAGCTGCCCTTACATCAAACCCAGTTTCAAGGCTCCATCTTTATGCTCCCAGTTATACAGAGGCAAAGCAGCCTCTCACAGTGCAACAACGTGCACAAACCCAACATGAGATGCAGCAGGAGGAGGCTATTTCTAGCCCACCAGCAAACTAAGGAAAACATTTCCTTGATCAGATGGGTTTGTGTTACCTGGGGAGGTGTCCAGCTGTCCGTTACAGCATGGAAACAAGAAGCTTGACCTGAGTGACCGAAGAAGGTCTGCTTCAAGCAGGGGGCAGAGAGAAGGAAGACAAAATTGGCCTTGCTGGCCAACAGCGCATGGGGTGACTGTGACATGGGAGGGCAAGAAAGAAGGTGAGATATTTAAGCAGGAAAGATATTGGTCAGCTGGTTTAGGGCAAAAAGACATGAAGGAAGCTGATCCTGACAGGCCAGAGTTGTGCAAGCTGTATGAAAAAGGATGGGAAGTTCCTATGGCAAAGGTGAATGAGGAGAGAAGAGGCTGTTCCTTCTCGGCACAAACGAGGAGGGAAAACCTTTAACTGGAGCATACAGGGTCCTTCAGAATGGGCACATGGGATGGGTGTCCTTTTCCTTGGTTTGTTTTATTCTGTTGCCATTCCTTTGCTCTCCTTATGCTGTGCACACTGAAGGATCTCCTGCAGCTACCAGTTGGTCACTGCAGTGGGCTTTGCTGTGAGGAACAAGAGCTGCTGCCAGGCAGGAGGGAAGAGCCAGGCCCTCAGCCAGAGCGGGGTGTGCAGGAGGCGTAGGCTCCCGGCAGCCACTCATCAAACGGCTTCCCAGAAAAGCCTCTGCACAAGGAATTGAAGCAGCACTGCCTGTGAGAGGAGACCCGGGAAGGATGTGTCCAGAGCTGTTGTTTTTAAACGAGGCTATTTGGAGCTGGTTCACTGACTGGCCTGGCAGGGTTATGTGTGTAGGAGGGAGGTTGTGTTACAGCTTTCGGTGCTAAAGCTGTAGGGTGTGATTTCTGCTTTCTCTGTTTCCATGTGGGCTCTGCGCAGGCAGGACAGATGAAGGTCAGTGAACTTCATACTGTTTGGATCTTTGGCATAGTGTACACACTGCATGCAGTGGCCCCTCACAAAAGCAAAGACTTGCAGCAATAGAAAATAGCCATAAGGCCAAACTGCAGCTCTGCACCTCCCTGTCCACCCCGTGTGACATTTACCAGGCCTCTGGTGACTTCTTCAAATACTCAGCTCTTATAGAAGCATCTTCACTCACTTTATGCTCTTGGTACTGCCAAACAGACACGTAGCAGCCACTGAAGTTTGGTATTTGAGCTCTCATCATTTATGTGCAAGCAGCTTAGGGGATGTCTTGCTGCAGGCAGCAGAACTGACGGAACTGACTCCTGTCATCACACCTACAGCCCAGCAGAGCAATTTAAATGTTCATAGCTTTCAGTTAAATTCAATACATTGCAGCAGCTCATGTAGGCTCTTTAGGTAAATATCAAGTCTAACTATGAACACTTCTGTTTAGTTCTCTATTTGCTGTAGGGTATAAGACCACATATCCCAATTTATCCCCACTAAGAATGTTCAGGAACAAGTTGCAAGCTATTGAGAGTTCATACAATGTCAGTAAAGTAGCTATAGGCTATTTATGGTAAGCGCTGCCCATAAGGAATACTAATGAAAGGGGAGGACTCTGCCATAACATAAAACCGTATCTGTTGGAACCAAGATTTTGATTAAAACTGTACCTTTTCAGCTGAAAGCTCATCTAAACAAGGGGCAGTTCTGAACGTGAAGGTCTGTCCGCAGTGCCCTCTGGTGGAAGTATCCTGGGAGCACAGGAAGGTTTTGGCTTTTCTCCATCAGGTCACCATTCTGAAATAATGACATTAAGGTGACAAAAGTGCTTTTCCATCACCAAATCCGAGGTTGGCAGGGCCTTTGGTAGGTGATCAATAGGATATGGCTTTCCATTTTTGCTAGGAGATCAATTATCACAGGGAGAATTACCTTTTCCCCTATTTACCATGGCCAGCAGCAGAGTGGAAGCAGTGAAAGACTAATCTTTCTTGCCAAGCTCACTAAGGAGTGTTATAGGTGTTTCCAGATGGGTGCCTTGACAGAGCAGCCTGAATGTGCTCCAAGCTGCATGACAGGCCTGTTTGCCTGGGGACCACTGTCACGACAACAGAACGGCAACAGAACAGCAACAGGTTGCTGGCTCTAGACATTTATGCATTGGCTAGAAACTTATTCCTGGAGCAGAATGTATACACCGTCCTCCTGCCCATCAGTGCAAACCAGTTTGTACTTACTCGAGCAATGCAGAAGCTGAATTTGTACATTACTTAGCCTGTGATGGTCATCTGCCTTCTAGACTAAAGGCTACTTGCAGCTATGCTTGCCTCTACCTCTCATTGCCCAGCAGAGAGCACTATAAGAGCACTGTTAGAAGCAGAGCTGCTTTATTGCTGTGAGGAATTGGGCATATAAAATCTGATCTTTAACAGATCCTGCACATGTTCTCTGTCCAGTTTTGTCTATACAGGCCTATCATCCTGGACACTTTGAAGTTACTTTGTCTTGTGGCTTCCTCTTCACAGAACACATCTCAAAGGGGAGATCAGTTCTAAAAAGCTCAGGCATTGCTTTTTCTGAAGCCCTGGCAAACAAAGACATAGACACTGTTGGAGCACCTCACTTGAGCCAGACAGAAAAAGTATTACCCGTTTCCTGGCTGTCATCACCTTTAGTTTCAGGTGGAACAAGGAGGTATGCTTGCTTGTACTAACAGCTGTACCTTGGTCGGTGCAGGGGGCTGCCTCTCCTTCCTCATCGTTTTCCAGTCTTGATCTCAAACTGGGAAAAACACTGACTGTCCAACCTCCCACACTGCTTCACGTGCCCAGTGGGATACTGTTAGAAAGTCAATCTCTTTCTTGCTTCAGTCAGCCATTGAATTTGAGCTCTTGGGGTACCCTACACTATGACGTGTCTGCTCTTCTATCACACAGTGCACTTCACCTGCAAGAATGAGTACTGCAGAGTGTAGGCACTGAGTCCAGGGGATGCAGCTACAGGCAGGGAAATCAAAGAGGAAGATAGGTTTCGTGGTTATGCTCTGAGTATATCAAAGCACCAGGAGAGTGGGCCAGATCTGGGAAAGCTCTATGTTCCAGACACTGTTTGCATAGCATGTTGAAGATTTCCAGGGAATTTCATGAGGATAAATACTCACAGAAGCACTGTGGCCTCCACAGATCAGACACCACAGGAGCCACATCAGGGGAAGTTCCTAAATTACTCCCTTGCCAGTACAGCATGAACCCAACCAGGAAGGGGTTGAGCTGGCTATTCCTGGGACTTGTTTTGTCTGGTGGCTTCCTACAAACTGGAGCAAGGACTCACCAGCTTGTTCCACATCATAAGCGGCTGGCAGCTTCCCAGCCATTACCAGTGTAGTCTGGATTTCACCCAGCAACTTGGAGATGAAAGACATTGCAGCACCACTGCACTCACTGTTTTAGGTCCCAATCCAGCTCCTACTGAAGTCAGTTACTCTTTTTCCACTGAGTACAGCTGGAGCTGGGTCTGACATTTCTGTAACACTTCTGTCTCAAGTCCTCAGCTAGCTGAAATGTTGGTAAAAGAGTCCAACACAACAGATAGGTGCCTGCAGCTCAGCTATTTTCTGGCATTCAAATTAAAACCAGCACCACAGTCAAGCAAGAGCATGAAGAATTATGTTTCTTTCCTGCAAGCACAGACGCTCTGAGCTTAGAGCAGCCAAAGCACCTGGTGAAAGGAATCTAGAAGCCTGCACTAAGCAGCTGTGTGTGGAGGCTGACACACATGTGAAGCTCTGTTCTCGTGCCCAAAGTGCATCCCTGCCAGGAGCATCATCAAAGAAATCTCTCTGGTGGTGATGAAGATACTGACAGTGCTCAGCTGCCCTAAGAATGGCTGAGGTCATTGCTCAGAATCAGGGAGGAGCCCCGGGAGAAGTGTATGTCTGAAGGAGTAACCAAAGTCCAGGGTGTAGGAACATGCAGGACATAGCTGTGTTTTTGCACACATAGCCACTTCACCTGGCTCTTCTGTCAGCAGAGTTTTATTGAGAGTCCTCCTGTGAGTGATTTAATGAACATCCTAAAGGCTGTAAAGTTTACACACATAATTTGAATTCCTTCTGTCTCATTCTGCAGTGAGTGATTATCGACTCCTCCTGGTTTACATGTGGGAAGCAGAAGCATAAAGACAAGAAGTACAAAATGAGCAAGCAGAGAGGAGGCCAGGGCAGAGACTGCTCAAAGGTCAGCAGTTGTCTGTTCTAACATGTACTACTTCCTGGTCAGCAGTGCTCAGATGCTACACATGGCCTGGTTTGCTACAAGACTTGGCCTCTGTTACTACACACCTTGTCATTGCTAAATAGGCTTAGTTCCACTTTCAAGGCCAAGACACCAAGAAGCAGCTACCGTTTTAAGTCCTGTGTCATGAAACCACTGCAGGGCTGACCCAGCACTGGGAGCAGGAGGCTGTCAGCACAGGAACAAGAAGGGCATTCAAGAGAATTCAAAACTGCATAAAATCGAAACTGGGAAGAAGTGTTTTTCCACACTAACAAGGAACTGGATTCGGGGGGCTTGTGGTAAGAGGATGCCACTGAGGCCAAGAATTTAGGCTTCTGGTTTTTCTCTCTAGAAGAATAGGAGGTGTAATCAGTTGTAAGGAGTGACTGAGGGCCCTAAGAGTCCTTGGTTGTTGGGGGACAGCCTGGCTCAGTACTGACTGAGAGATGTGCCAGCCATTGACTGAGGGAGACCAGCTCTGCTTCTGCTATGAACAGCAGAAAGTCCTGGTTCCTTCACACTGTGGGCAAGGATGACCTGTAGCATAATGCTGAGGCACCTCAGTAGTTTTCCCTCTAAAGGATACATGAAATTCCTGGGATCTGTAAAGTACCAGGAGCCCATGAGAGCCTTTTCCCAAGAGCCAGCATTACTGAAATGCAGTGGGTGAGCAGAGATCCTCCCCACCTTGGCAGTTCACTGCAAATGGAGCCAAATATAGGCAGAAAGAGTCCTGCTTTCTGAAGAATGAAAAGAGGAGCAATGGAAAAGAGCAGCAGCATCCCTCTGTGAACCCACTCCTCTCCATCCCCATAGCAAGCTTCTCTGAAGGCAAGACTAGGATTAATAAGAAACATATGGGAGGAGAGTCTGTGATCCAGGGCTCCAGGATGAGCAGCTGAAGCACTAAGGAGCTACCTGGACCCCATTCAGGAGTGAGCTCAGGGATCAAACATCTCACGAATGGGGAGTGGGCTGGGTGGGGAATTTAAAAGGTACAGGCTGCAGTTTGGTGCTTCCCACCCTCCCAGGGCAACATGCCAGTCTGAGAGGAACATTCCAGTTCCAGCACAACAAAGCGTGAGAGTCACTAACATCTTCCGTGCAACATCTTTCCCTCCCTACTCAAATTTAATTGGAGCTGAACTCATATTAGTTCCATAGGGTTCCAATCCATCCAGTTTTCAAGCTCTGAAGCCTTAAGGGACTTGCATGAAGCTACATTTACAAGCAATGGACTGATACCAAAATCAAATGCCCTCAACTTTGGTGGAGCTGAAGACTGAATTAGAGGCTGTAGCTCAACCCCTCTATGGAATTTGGTGGAGGCAGATTCCCAACCTCACTGAGGACACTGCCAATGCTCTCCACTGCTTTATGGTCTGTATGTACAAATAAACCCTTCTCCTCCTTTCTGCTCCATCTTTTTTTCACCCTTTTCCCTTCTCTTTGGAATTTCCTCCCTTTGTCCATCCCAGGAACAAAGCAGCCATTATCTCAAAGCTCATCACTCCACACAAATATAATCCAGCTAAATATCTGACCTAACAGGCAGGGGACAGCTGTAGGAGACCAGCTGAAAGGGTGAAAGGTCTATCCTGGGCAGCAAAGAACTGGTCTGAAGTATCCAGCATAGACCCTTAGACAGTGCAGACGAACTGTGCTGTTACAGTGTCTTACACATCAACTACGATACTCATCTTTGACTGGAAGAGGGGAAAAATGGCCACAACCACAGTCACTGAATCAGAGCATCCCCAAAGCTGGAGAGAGTTTGTATCCACACCCAACCTTCCATTTTTTGCCTTTTCCATAAGGAGTATAAACACAAATTACACACTCACCCACCTTTGCACTGAAGCTGCATAGGATTGCTTTGCTTTGTAGAAATGGCAGCTTGCTCCTGCACTGGTTCTCTTTGACATCCTGTTGTTATTAGCACTCTTTGGCCAAGCTTCTTTTCCCCTCGGGAGTCCAGGGGCTGTGGCAATCACTCTGCACCGTCAGTGTCTCCTCATCTCAGGCCCTGAAAGCCACAGTAGTGACAGGATGCTGCAATGCGTGTACAAACAATGCCCCCAGTGCCATTTTCAGCTGGACATTCACATCAGTACCTCAGTTCACTGTCCTCTTGGTTGGAAAAGTGCTGGAGTTTGACACAGGGCCTGCATAATGACTTGGGGGCTCAGCAAATGTCTGCCATTCCTGATCTCCCACTGACTTCCTGGAAACCTGGAAGTTTTCCAGGTGTGTTGTCTACTCAGTGTGGGATCTATTTGAAGCATGTACTGAAGTTTAGCAAGAGGGGACACTGGTCCTTGCCAGGGTCTTAAGACAATGCAAGTGAACAAAATAGTTGCTATGCAGAAGAATTGGAGCTGTTTCCAATTTAAACCGATTAAATTTACCAATAGATCACATTTCCAGTTTAAACTTATCCTGGTGGTGGATGGATGCATCACCTACATGCTCTCATCACCCACCAACTGGAATTAGAGCAGGAACAAGGTGGGGAAGATTTTCAATGTGACAGTGATTTGAGTATCTTTGTTTCCTGTGTTTGTGCTTCTCTGCAGTTTAACTACACAATATCTGCAAGAATGAAGTGAGATATGCTTCATCTCAACAATATTTCTCACCTCCCTGGATTTGCACATCATTGGTTTAGTCTTTCCCTTAAAAAAACAAGGAGGAAAAAACTAATTCAAATAAGGGTGGAATGCACAGAGATGAGCTCTGTTCCCAACCACTGCTGGTTTAGTAGCTACCATCACTACTTAGTGCTTAGTGAATGGTTGCCCATCCCATCACATTTACTACCTTCCACATGTGCTGTTTTTATTATCATTAGCTTTGCTTTAAACAATCTTTTCCAACCTTTCCTGTCTCTTCATTTTTGCTGTCCTCAGTCCAGAATGAAGTAACAAGCCTGTAACCAAGCATTTTCCATGCCTTACCATAGAAGTTCATTGGGTTATTCCACAACTACTTCCTTTACCTCATCCCTGACAGCCTGATTCTGCCATGAGGCCTGTGCACAGACCCCCCGAACTTACTGAGGCTCTAACTAGAACATGAAAGCTCTGGGTGACCTCCAGACTGATCTCAGTAAACCTTTCTGTCCAACATGGCTTTAAAAAGACTTGGTCTAATAGCCCAGGGTAGGATTAAGGTTTATGGAAATAAGAGCAATAATTGCTACAATTTGAACAGATTTTTTGTCCTGGGGTTGTTATTTTTACACAGTGGATGAGGATTTTCATTTAAATATGCTCTATAATGTTATAGTCTGGACACAGGAGCAATATACACATATGGATCTTGCCATACAGCAGTAAACCCTAACCCCCAGGATGGTTATTTAGGAAGGAAAAAGTGCACACTTATTGTAACTCCCCATTTCAGCACAGCTTTTGGGAACCAGCACAAACTGAGGTGCCCACAGCACAAAGACATCACCTGGCTCCATGTTTCATTTCCCAGAAACCAGAGTAAATGGCATGGTAATAGAAGGGGTGGGTTAGCCACTGACCACTGGCATTCTGTAGTTAGATTTATGCTGTGTCTGCACAGGGCCTGGATCTCTCCTGCTCTGCCTCTCTCCTGCATGTGGTTATGAAAAGAGCAAGAGAAGGAGAAAGGAAATTAACGCAACAGAGAACTTGAAATAAAAGTGTTTTACATCATCTCATATAAAACAACCCATAAATCCCTGCCCTCCTGCTCCACCCCTCACATGGTTTTCATTTTGCTGGCAGGCTGAATAACAGAAAAGTGGAGGGTACAAAGCACATATTCTTGGTGGGAGAGGCACCCCCCCTTCCCTATACACTTCCTACTCACACCTTGTCCCTGTGCCTACAGCACAGCATACTCCTCTGGTGAGTAATTGAAACACGGAGGAATTCAGCATCTGTCTGCCATGTGCATTGCTCCAATTCCTTTCATTCGAGGATCCCTGCCCCACTGTGAGCATCTTCAGCCACCTTTGCCCAGTGCAGGGGAAATAACAGAACTGTTGGGACTTCTCAGCCACCAGCATAAACCCCCAGGTAATAGGAACAGCAGAACACCAGCAAGGCCCCCAGGCAAACCCATCTGTCACTCCAGCAATGGCATAGAAGGTCACAACAGGAACCCAGGAGGGCTGAGGCAGTGTCTTTCCCATTCCACCCTTGCACCCAGAGAACCTGCAGATCTTCAGAGCCATTCATGCTCCTTCAGCAGCCACTAAGGTTTTCTGAAGACAGCAACAGAGAATTTAGTTCTGTCCTAAAATTCCCTGGCTCATTTAAGTAGCTTTTCTGAACAGGATGTCTCTAATGCCTGAATATAATCTAAACATCCAAAGTGCTGTATAAATGTATTAGTTACTTTCAGTAGAGTTGGATAAACAGAAATGCTAACGCTTCAATTCCAGCATTAGGTTTGCCATTGGAAATAAACTGCAGCTCAAGAATTTGTTAGATCCACCTTCTCCATAGGGTTAGAGGTCCTCTGGAGCTCTCAGGAGTTGCCACGCTGTCTGTCATTGCTTTCCTTGCTAAGAAGAGAAATCACAGATGGCAACTAACCTACAACATCAAGCTAGGTCTCATTTCTCTCTTCCCACCTCCACCCCAAGCACTCCTCACCAGAAAGAATGACCTGGTGTAGTTCCAGGAGCTGAGCAAAGACAGGGGAGTGAAAACGCCAGCCTGACTTGCACAGAAACATAGGCACCTTTTTGTTTTACAAGCTCTGGTAGGGCAAGCTCCAGGAGATGCCAAGAACATTTTGTTCAGAAGCAGGGACCTGGAGCAGGTTTATTCTCAGGGTCCTGTCCCTCTCAGGGTAGGGATATACCGGCTGACAGCCGTTTTCTCCACCCAGCTGGTGAGATACGCTGTCAGTCCTGGGCTGTGTCAGACTTCAGTTCCAGCCCTTCTGGGAAGAGAGTTGGGGTTTGTTCCCATGACAGTCTGGCTTGTAGCTAACCTGGTAGTGACTGTGTGTATAGGAGAGACACCCAGACAAATACAGTTCAGAGCAAGGTTGCATGCAGGCGGAGGGAATGTACTTTAACAGTTCACTGTACAATGGCTTTTTCATTTCCACTGCTCCCAGTGCTGCTGGGCCACATTCTGGCTTTGGCACTGGTCTCCAAACCAAACCATCTATCCACTACACTGTGTAAGCTGCCATCCTAACACCCAGCTTTTGCTGGCCTAGCAAGTTACAACCTGCTGGTGCTTCCCCTCAAAGACACTTACCCATTTGCTAACTTTAGACCTTGCCATAAATGGATCCAGCGCATGGATCTGCTGACAAAATGGGGAGTTCTCCAGGCTTCTTTTGGAATTCACTCACCTCCAAAAGTGGCCCTTCAGCTCATGCTTTGTTTTCCAACATGCTGCCCACAGCAGTCCATAAGGGAAATGTTGGCTGGACCCTAAATGCCAGCTATGATACCCTTTTATCTGATCCTGAGGATTCCACTGCAGTTCTAATCCCATTGTCAAGGCCTAGATGGTTCACAATCTAAGGGGATAAGGCAGGTAAAAGAAGGATAATTATTCCTATTTTATGCATGTATAGAGATGCCTACAGGAGTTGGCAAGTGGCTGAGTGCAGGGTGGCATCAGTGTGTGACCTTATGGTATGGTGGCTATGGTGAGAAACATACCATTGCTAATGTGTGACTCCAAGGCAAATGGCATTATTTGTTGTAGTTCACATTTCTTTGTCATTTCTGACTGAATAAAGAAAAGCAAAGGATGAGAATGAGTTAAGAGGGAAGGGGAAGCAGCATAAGAAGACCTTAAAAAAAATACATTAGTCACTGCATGCAAGGCAAACAGCAGCCTGTTGATATATCCCACCCAAAGGGGACTGAGAAAGTGACCTCATGCTGCTTGTCAATTATAATCCCATCCCTCCCATGACGACCTAATGCTACAGCTCCATCTGTCTGGAAGCAAGTCCCCACTGCACCCGGGCCAGCTTTACTACAGAGACAGAACAGCACTAGGAACTTTTAATGACTGTGTGTTATACACCCTACCCTCGTCAAAGCTTTTTCCAGTAAATGTAGGAGCAGCACACAAACAGTAAGTCCTGTGCTGTAACATGTACGTGATGCAGACTGGTCATGTGCTTAGGTACAAGTTTATGTCATGCTATACACACTGTACAAAACCCCTTAATTTGTCATGATACTGCGTTTGTGCCTAAAGACCTTGTCATGGACCTGGATCCTCAGCATGCGAGGTGCTGTGTGACCAAGATAACAGGAGGATCTCTGCCTCAGTTTTGTTCTTGCTTGTGCAAAGTGCCCCTAGGTAACACAATGCAGACAGGCAGAGCAAACTGCAGCCGCCATCCAGCAGCAGCTGATGCAGCCCGTGCATTTGGTGAACCGTGCAAGAACTGATCCCACTTCTGGGCATGGAGGGCAGAGCTGCAGGAAGCCTTGGTCCCTTTTATCCAGAAGTACAGGCACAGAAGATAAGGAAGAGAGGCTGCCCCTTTCTCCACAGACTCCTGCTCTTTTCTTCCTCTCTTCCATTTCTGAGGCATCTAAAAACCCAGGGACAGCTTCCTGCTTCCCATTCAAGCCAGGCTTTAGTCACAGCAAAGCAAGATGCAAGCCATGGCTGAGCCGTGCTCATAGCACCCAGGCTATTTCCATGCAGAACGAAGTCACACTCGGTTCCCAGCCACCATAATGGACCAACACCAGCAGAGCTGCAACCTGCCCTAGAGCTTTCTCTTTCTTTTGCTGTTAGTTTCAATGCTGAACCCATAAATTAACCTATCATTGACTAAAGTCTAGCAAAGCTCTTGTGTGCAAGGGACGCAGATTGCTGCTCAGAGTCTGTAAGGATGTGCCAAGAAGCTGTACTGCCTCAAGGATCTTTGGGAAAACAGTCTGTGTGTAAATCTTTCCCCTTGGATGCATTTCATAGAGCCATCCAAAGGCTCAAGAAAGCCACAGACAACACAGGCAGTAGCAGGTGGCTGGATACGATGATGCAGGAGCCCACCTGAAAGGACCAGGACACCGCAGTGCCTCTGCCTTGGGTACAGCTTGTCAAGAGCTCTGAGCACAGGCTGAGCTTCAGCCAATTTGGCTGCACAAGTAGCTTTTCACTGTGGATTTTATGGGGCTCCCTGGGAGCAGGGGCAGGGGCAGCCCCCCCTCTGCCCCTGATGCTAAGTTATTTTACACTTATTATCTGAAGTCAGTGTTTAGCCGTTGCCCAGGTAACAGCTCAAACATGCCTCACCTCGTGGCCTCCCTGCAGCTCCGCATGGCTGCTGGAGAGCTGGGAAGCAGACTTTGTGCCAGGCGCTGAGGAAATGAGCTCTGCAGCCTCCCCAGGACATCCCAGCATATTGGAGAGCCAATCCAAAACATCCCCAGCCAGATTCCTGGGCAGGCACCTCACCGAGCATACAGTGCCTGCCACAAAATCCACACCATCTCCCCCACCCCTCACACCCTTTGCCTTCTCCAGACACGTGCAGAGCCATGAGGCAAATGCAGCCCAGCTCACACCACTCCCGTTGGTACCTCTTCTCTACCTCTCCCGACATCTCCTCCAGCAAGTGTGTGTCCTCTGATACACACTTAAAGCCAAACACATAAGCCTGCAGTACATATTGTGTCCTGCTGAGCCACAGCCTGGGCTGAGATACAGGAACTCAACACACACAGAGCCTTTCAGTCCATGGAAGGGGTTAAGGAGCTGGAATGAGCCTGTGGCAGGCACTCAGCAATCCTGTGCTGCTAACACAGGCACCTCACTCACTGAAGTCACAAGGAGTATATAATGCACATAAAGGAGATAGTATCAAGCCTGGTGTCCCTGCTACAGCCTGTGTATCAAATGTGCTCATCTCCCAGGTGAAAACACAGTGCTGAGGCTCAACCTGCTAACAGGAAACAAAACAAACACATCTGCATGTTGCATAGTACAGCAAGATCGAAATGAGGTGCTGCCAAAGGAGCAAATGGTGCCTTGCATGTACTTCTGCCCTAACACACAAGGAAACAAAGAGCAAATCAGGTTACAAGTACTGATGTGCAAGAGTGCAAGAGGCAAGTGCTGTGCCTCTGGTGCCACAGGTCATTGCTGGAGCAGGGGTCAGGAGATAAATCAAACAGGCAAACCAGAGCCATTTAACACTTCAGTTCCCCTGTGCCCATAAACCTGCAGAGGGCTATTTTGTTTTTCTTACCTCTGGGGCATCAGTTGCACTCCAGCTCACACTTCAGTGGTGTCTGCAAACAGACATGCATCCTGCCCAAGTATGTTGTTACAGTTCTGTTAGGTGCTTGCTGGGTGCTTTCAGCACCCCATAAACCTTTACTTTTCTTCTCCTATTCCTCCTTTCCTAACCCCAAGTCAATAAGTGAGGGATCAGTCCCTGAGCAACTCAGAACATAATCTTTGGCACCCTTCAGACTCACTGAGAGGTTACAGGAGAGCCACACCAGATCAGGATTTGCCATCTTGCCACAGTGAGACCTGCATCATTAAGTGTGGTGGCACTTCTGCAACAGGTCATGTCTGATATGGGCCAGATCTCACATCGTACTGGCATCAAAAGGACCATCAGGTATTCCGGAGACAAGTACACAGGTGACACCTTTTGTACTGAATGGGTGGAAATCTTCCCCAGCAGAAATAATCACTGCTTGGATGCTTGTTCCCAGTCAGGCACTGGCAAAGCACTCCTTGGGAATTCTTCAATAGTTTTAAATACCGTGAGATGCCAGTGGGGTTCCAACGTATGTCTGCTTGAACAGTTACTCAATTCCTTTTACTGTCCCCCTGCTGGGAGCCTTGATACTAGGAAATGTTTAACTCCATGAATGGCAGAAGTTTTCACATTACTGAAGATCTGAGTGATTTTTGCCAGGACAACTGCAATTTAGTTGGAGATTATTTCTTTGCTTTTTAAGACTAACTCCAGAGTGGTCATAGAAGCAGTGTGGGGAGCAAGGTACCAGTATCCCCTATAGTTTTCCATGAAAGAGATTTCTCATGTATGTCTTCATCCTCTGTTCTCCCTTGAGAGCAAGAGAAGCGTCAAGATGAGACCTCTGTAATCCTTGCAGCTCAACCCAAAAAGAGATGGAGTTGGCAGCAAACAAAACTGATGGGGACAGAAAAAAATCAAGTCCTGAATGACCTTCCCTAGCATCATGGCAGAGACAGAATCTGCCCCTATTTCCTTTTGTTGATGGCCAAATGTTCATCCCCCATGGCTAAAGCAACTCCATCACCTTAGCCAGTGTCAGCAGCTGCTGTGCTGGGTGCCCCAAAGGGGAGAGTGATGCTCCCATTAGCCAGTCCCCAGCCACCGAGCACCCACTGGGTGGGACCCATGTCCTACCCAGAGTTCTGCATCCTGACCCCACTATTCCCAAGCCTGCCCTTTCACTGTGCCTGGCTCCCTGTGCCTCGTGCCACGGGACATTCATACTTCAGCTAAGTCATCACTGACCCATTTTACTTCCTTTCTTTTTTTCATTCATCTTTGCCTTCTTGGGCTTGCTTAAAGCATCTGGTCCCACTTGGGGCTGGTTTGGATCCATGCGAGAGGCCAATGGGATGTGATGTAGCATAAAAAGAAGTGCTCCCAGAATGGCTGCACACTTGCTCTACCTTTCTAAAGTCTGTGGAAGCTTAACTGCACCCTATAAATCATCAGGGACCTCTCAGGGACTGACTGTCAGCTCTAGGCTCCCTGCTGCTGGGAGCCCTGTCTGCCTACATGCCACAGCCACATGGAGACGTTCCACATTCACAGTCAAGCCACAAAAAGTCTGTCCTGTTCCTTCAAGGAATGCTGTGTCCTTTGTGAATTAGAGAGGAGCAATGATGTATAGCAGTGAACCAGCTATGGAGTCAAGCAGGCTTCAGCATGCTGCTTCCTAAGGTTATGGTCCAGAAAGATTTCAGTTTTGGCACAAAATATTTGTACAGCCAGTGCTCTGATGTGAGATGTGATCCTCTGTTCTGTCATTAATCCATCACATAACAGCCCCACAATGTGCCAAAGGTGCTCTTAGCCTCAAACAAAACCCAGAAGTGGGAAGGAGTTCATGTAGCCTCCCTGACATAGATACACATTGCCCTTAAGTGGTTCACTGTCCTTAGTCAAAATATGTATTATCACTCAAATGTTGCATGAGGAAAACACATCAGCTTTGCCTGTGACTCTGCATTTACCAGCAGAGGTTCCTGATGCAGCTGTATCAGCACAGCTTGAACAGACAACTAATGCTTGTTTGTTCTTCCTTTCCAACTCAGTCTTGCAGCAATTCATCCCTTCCCCAGTACCTCAGTCTGTGTCGCCAGCCCAAACCCAGCCTCAGCTTGGATCTACCCAGAAGTGAAGGTGAGTCTGTGATGTTTTGGGCCTCTTGCACTCAATGGTGCATTGAAGCACATCAGGAAAGGATAAGGTGAGGTATTTCCTTTGGGCTGGGTGCCCAGTAGCTTTGGAGCAGGGGAGGAAGAGAGTTTCCAAGGCCCCTTCAGAAAGCAGGGCTAGTGCTACTCTGGCATGGCAGGAGGAGAAGTCTCTTGCCAAGTCGTCTCTGGACCCATGATCAAACACATTGGGGCACCCCCTTTGTGCTAATAGATGAAACTGCTCCTCTCATGAACTTGGGTACCCAGTGCCAAGTTTAGATACAGTCTAGACTCAGTAGCATATTTATAGCCTTGGCACATG